AAATGATACCAGGACAGCCAAGATATTACTCAAACAGAACAGGGTCAGAGAACCTCGTCTAAGTGCTGTCAGTGTGTACAGTAATTAAGACAGTGTGGGCAGGGGAGGGAGAAACAGGCCAGCACAACAGAAGGGACCCAGAAATGAATTCACAGGTAGACACGGGTACCTGTTCTACAACAAGGTAGCAGGGAAGGGTAGCTTTTCAGCAAAGGGCAGAGGAACAATCTGTAGGTGGAGAAATGAAACCTGACCCCTGCCTCACACAGTACACACAAAAATTTATTCGAGACATACTCCACAGCTGAGTTTCGCACATGTTCAAGAACTTGGGCAGGAAGACTTCTTGGGGTGTGTCTTTTGTCATGATTCAAAAAATTTGGGAGGAGGGGGCCAGGGATTTAGCTCAGTGGTTCTGCTGTCTGCCTTGCAAGCGCAAGGACCTGAGTTTCATCCCCGGTACCAAAAGGAAAAAAAAAAAAAATCTGGGAGAAGGAAGAAACAAAAATTCTGCACAAAATGCCTCAAAATGTGCTACTTTTCATTTCAGGATCTGCATGGCAAAGTGGCTAAAGTCTCTGATTCTACAGTGCTGGTTTCCCCCGCTCCCGACTTCCTTACTGGGGAGCTTTGGACAAGTCATTCAACATCTCTAGTACCTTCTCCACCAGTAACAGGGAGTAGTAACAGTGTCCCACCTCACAGGGCCATGAGGATGAAAATGAGGTGACAGATTACTGCCAACACATGAGCAACCACTTGCTAAATTATTCTTATTATGAAGGTTAATAAATTAGTTTAATGAGTGATTTAGTCATCAATAGCTATAAGCTGAGTCAATAAGTGCAGTAGTAGATTTCATTTTAAGGGAGAAGTAGATCCAAGTTCGGAGTCAAAAGACGTGGGCTTCAAGAGTGACTGTGGCATAAAAATCTCTCCTTGGGGATTAGGTCACAAGGCTGCACCTCTGACAGTGGGGTGCAAAGGTCATCCAGGAGAGGGCTGACTGTACAGCCTGCCCAGTGGGGCAGCAGGTGCAAGATCTGTGCAAGACTCCTCAGATCAGGAACAACCTGTGGGGTAAGTTCACAGTGCTTCCGGGCTCCATTACTCAGCTCCTGCTGCCTACCTGCGCACGACACAGCAGAGTCCTTTTTTTGAGGCAGAGTCTCACTATGCAGGGCAAGCTGGCCTTGAACTCACTATGTAGCCCAGGTTGGCTTCGAACTCTCAGTGATCCTCCTGCCTCAGCCTCCTAAGTGTTGGGATTACAGGCGTGCACCACCATGCTCAGAACACAAAAGTAGTAACCATAAAGGAAAATAAATTTTTTTAGAATTAAGAACTACTCTTCATCAAGAAACACCATCAAGGTTAGGGCAAAGCAAGCCAGACAGGGAGAAATATTTGCCATATGTATAAATGACAAAGGAGTTATATCCAGAATATATAATGAACATCTATGTCAGTTTGTGAAAAGTACACTTGAGGCATTTCACGAAAGAGGAAATCTAATGATGCGTACAGATATAAAGAGAATGCAACCCACTAGCAGTCACTGGACATGCAAACTGAAGCCACAATAAACCATCATCCATACTCACCAAAATGGCAAAGTCAAAAAGACCAAAAATGCCACCTGTCAGAACATATGCACAACTGGGAAGGCCCTTGGAATACTAATTTTTGAGTGTTTGTTAGAATTTTGACTAGTTCTTAGGCATTTAACTTGTTTTTAATTTTTGTTCAGGGTGATCACTGATATTTTCTCGTAAATTTCCTTGGAATCCCTTGAAAAGAACAAGACTTATTAAGCACCCTCAATCCTGTGCCCAAATTTACAAAGGCTGTTAGGAATTAGTTGCAGGCACACTGTCCATGTGCTACTGTCAAAAAGATGATCCAACTCAACGATTTTGTCTAAAATTCCTGTGTTTTCTAGTTTGAAAATGTTTCATTTTCATTACCTCCAGAAGAAGATTCTCTCCAAATGTCTCACTAGGGCCTGCAGATGTAACTGGAGAGATGACTAAGAAACTATCCCGCTCACATGCCTTTAAAACAGAGGCCCACAAGAAGTTACACTGCAGTATGGCGCCATCTGGTGGCTCCCGCATCTTACAGCCACCTTTAGCTCACTTGGCTCTGCTTGGGATCATCCGATCACACCGATGGCAGAGGTCAACGCTCCTCCACCGTCCACACCACCCCACGGGGACTTTTCAGCATGAGGTAAGCACCCTCCACACGTGCACAGAACAACATGCTCTTTTTCAGTGCTTCTTTAAGTCTAAACACTTTTCTGCTGGGTTTTTTCTTTTGGTATACATGAGTGAATTACATATTCGGCATTACTTGTCCTTTGAAAGTTATATGTATTTTCCAACTCTCTAGCCTGTTTCTCTTTTTTTGGCACCAGGTATTGAACTCAGGACCTTGTGCTTGCCAGGCAGGCACGGTGCTGTTGAGCTATATCCATAGCCCTGTTTTTTTTTCTTTTGGTACCAGGGATCAAACTCAGGACCTTGCACTTTCAAGGCAGGCGGCAGAACGACTGAGCTAAATCCCCGGCTCCGCCCTGTTCTTATAAATAGTATTCTTTGGTGAATGTGTCTTTAATTTTAATATAGCCAAATACATCTATCCTTTCCTTTACAGTTAGGTTACCCCGACCCCATATTGAACCCAAGGCCTTGTGTATGGCAGGCAGGTGCCCTACCACTGAGCTCCATCTCCAGCCCTACAGTCAGTATTTTCTTAGGTCTTAAGAAATCTCTACTTGGCCAGGGATGTAGCTCAGTGGTGCCCACATGTGTGTCAAGTGCAAGGTCCTCAGTTTGATCCCCTGTACGGGGCGGGAGGTGGTGGGGATCCCTACTACTTCTGAAATTTCATTAAGTAATTCAGGGTTATATCTTCTGTGTTTTGTACAATTTACCAGGGAAATCATCCAAGATGGGTCTAAATATATATAAAGACAATAATAAAAAATGAGTGAAGTTTATTCTAATAGAGGGTGAGGTGGAGGAGCAGGGCTAGGTAGAGGGTCAACACCAAAGAAACCCTCTATTAATTTATTAATTTAACTTATTAACAGATAAGGGAAATAATTTTGTCCCTTGAATAGATTTCTTAAAAAAAAAAAAAAAAAAAAAAGAGCGTCTGACAAAATTTGACATCATGAATCCTCTCAGCAAACTATACACAAAAGGGAACTTCCTTGAACTCACAACACAAAATGGGAATCAGCATATGCTCCATGGTGACCTCTGAGTGTTCCCCAAGATCAGGAACAAAGAAAGGAATTTCATGCCAATCACTTTTGCTCAACACTGGACTGGACATTTTGATCAATGTGGTAAGGGAAAGAGGGGAAAAATAAAGCGAAACAATTAGTGAGCAGATTAAGATATGAGCATGCAGAATAACCCCCAAATCCACAAATTATTAAGTTAGAGAAAGTTGGTAAATAAAAGGCCTTAGTAAAAGTAATTTTTTAAATTTTATCAACAAATAGAAAACAAAAGACCTAAGTTGACATTTTACAAAATAAGTATTCAAATAGCCAGAAAGTACTGCGTTTGAAAAGATGGGTGGCCACCTTAGTCACTATGGAAATTAAAATTGAAACTGCAAGAAGATGGAAGTACACACTCACCTGAATGACACAAGGAAAGTAATACGCCAACAAGGCTGCTGTAGAGGCCAGTTCCCCTCTTTGCATTATCCTACGCTTGCCGAGTGTGGCCAGCAGTGGAAGCTGGTTCCTCAGGTGTGCTTACAGGCCACATCTCTAAACTTGAGGGACTGGGCCCCCAACTCAGACAAATATACCTACTGTCTTTCTTCCTAGAGCTAACAAATGAGCACAGAATGTGCTGCCGGAAAGAGAAATTATCTTACAGTTCAGAAGGCCAGAAGTTCAAAGCGAGGGTTCCCCGAGAGCAGCACTTCCTCTGCAGGTTCAGGAGAATCCTTCTTCTGGTTCCTGCTGGCTGCAGAGAGGTTGGTCTCGGCATGCCTGCTCCTGCCCGGTTAGTTGCTGCCTCTCAGGAGGATGCTGGTGACGGCATGTAGGTTCCACAGATAACGCACAGTAATCTCTTCATCTCAAAGTGGTTAACTGAATTACAGCTGCGAAGACCCTTTTCCAGAATACACCAAACATTTGTAAGTTCCTGGCATTAAGGTCCAACGTTTCTGGCTAGCCATTATTCAACCTGCTACAGTACATCTGTGTTTAACACAGTGTTTTCCAAATAAAGAAATGAACTAAGCCTGGCGAGATGGTCGGGAAGGAATCTCCTCGCAAGACCTGGTGTATGTGTTGGGATAGGGTGAACTCAGAGAAGGCGAAGACTTGGCTATCACAGGAGTAACATTTCCTGAGTACAGAGGGAGACCGGCAGATTTTACAAAGGGTGCTAAAGTAGAATTTCTTCCTTGCTAGGGTCCCGGGGTCTGAGCGCATAAATGCCATTACCATATAGTCCAAAGGAGTGGGCAGTAGGCATGCTGTGGTAGGCCAGCTAGCTGCAAATTGGACATTCATTCTTTTCACTGCCAAGAATTCTGATTTTTATCTGGGTTATCAATTGCCCAGATAGAAGAGACAACTTCCCACATTTCCTTGCAGCTGTTCATCTTATCACACAGTTCTAATAGGATGTAGTCAGTGTTTCACAAATTCTATGTGGTCAACAATAATGAACCACATCAATTTCTCTGGAATCCTAAAAACATAGGCTTCCCTGGGCGTGGTGGCTCAGGCCTGTAACCCCAGCACATAGGCGACTGAGGCAGGAGGATTGCCATGAGTCTGAGGCCTACCTGGGCTACATAGTCAGCTGAAGGTCAGCTTGAACTACAAAGCAAGACCTTGCCTCAAAAAACCCCAAACAAAAATAAAGCCTTCACACCAACATGAGTCCCAGGTTGGCACTCTTGAGTCAGCAAGTGTAATTATTCCACTGTTCCATACACTCACAATGACATGCAGAGAAGGTTAATGTAGATTCTTTATTGATTCCACCAACGTATTAGTAGACAGGGTAATAATAAATGGTACTTTTACATTCTCTTAACCAAAAATATAACAAATATTTACACTCAGTAAAAATACAAAAAGCATACAGAGGCACTGTCTTTCTAAAAGACATAAGTTTTAAGAGGTATCAAAAAGTAGGAGACAAACATTGCTTGTTATAGGATACTTTACAATCACTGAATTGTGCAGTATAACTGTTATCTGATTATTACAACTGTGCAATTTTGTCTTTTTAAGCTAAGCTTACATATTTCAATTTAAAAAGATCAAGTTCAACTGAATTCTGTATATTAAAAGAAAGAAGCTTTTTAAAAAGCATAACAGGGCCAGGGATTTAGCTCAGTGGTTCCAGCGCCTGCCTTGCAAGTGCAGGGTCCTGAGTTCGATCCCCGGTACCAAAAAAAAAAAAAAAAAAGCATAACAAAAGCTAAAGATGAACTGGGGTTCAAATTTAAATCTGAAAATGTACTGTGACTGTGACACTTTTCTGAAGATTTATCCTTTTTTTTAGCCTTTAATGCTAAAGGGATACATATGCTTTAACATAATGTTTTGCAGAAAGTTTTGTACCCAAATAACAATCACTGTTTTAACCAAATAAAGGCATATTTTCTCTTTTTCATAGGTGAAAGAACACTTGGTAACATTTTCTAGGTCTGTTCTTAGAAATTCCATGGTTACTGCTGTTCCCAGGCAGAGAGGTGATGTAGCTGTCACCCTCATGAAAACCCATGGGAGGAGTTTTCTTCCCTAAGTAATAACTTGGGGGAAATGAGAGTCTATTAGTTATAATAAACTTTAACGGAAGCATGTATTGGATCTACTGATTCTCTGGCTCAGCAGCTGGCCAGTCTGCACCGAGGGGCTGCTGCTTCATCAGGCTTCGTGTCAAGTTGTGGTGGGAAGAGAAGGCGCCAATCTCTTCATGGTCAAATTTAAAATGAAAATAAGAAAAAAAGGGGATTTGGAATTGGAGCACACACAGGTTAAGGCTTCGTTGTTCTAGTAATAGGATAAACTAAGAAACAGCAGAAATGCTCCTTAAATTAAGGTTTTTAAAAATCAGTTTATTTTTTAAGGGCATCAAACTGCAAAGCATTTGGTTTTAGTCCCTGATCAATGTGACCAGCTGATCTGAACACTCACAGTTAAAGCCACGTACAGCAAAGGCAGCGACACGGTACAAGTCCAAAACCAAAGGCCTCAGCTCTCTGTGCAGTTATTATTTACACTACTAAGGGCAAAGATAAGTAAGGCTTCCATTTGGTTTGAAAACGTGCTAAACAAGGAGATGCAGTGCAAATAGCACATTTTTTCTGAAGTAATAGATATATAAAACAGTGATAATAAATACCCAAACTTGATAAAAAGGCGGTTATAGCAAAAATACTTTTCATTTTTTGTTTTGCTCTGGACATGGAAAACAAGAGTACGTAAATGAGTGAATAAAAAGTCTAGACTCAGAGGACCACTGTTCAATAGGCCTAATCACTACAGCGTGACTTTCAAGCCAGGATTTGGATTTCAGGCAACTTTCTGCTTCAAAGGACCAAGAAAACTGTGGAGCCACGTAGCTTTATTTTTAACATACCTGGGGTTAATTTCTAAGGCTTAAGTTTCATGTTAGTATTTTTTCCTCAGGGGGATTTTGCAGATATATTATTTTCCCTAAAATACAGATAATAATTTTGATGGGAAAAATGAACAATTACCATTTACCACATAGAAGTGACATGGTTTTAAAGTGAAGGGGATACCCAGTACTTGGGAGGCTGAGGCAAGAGGATCGTTGAAAGTTTGAGGCAGGCCTGGGCTACAAAGTAAGTCCAAGGCCAGCCTGAACTACACAGTGAGACCTTGCCTTCAAAAAACACAGAAAATCAGACAAACAAACAAACAAAATAAAACAAATGGCAGAGGCAGGAAACAGAAAAAGAGCAATAGAGAAAAAAGTACACACTTTTAAAATACAGTCACAAACTAAATCTTATATGGCCACATGCAGACAACCACTCTGAATCCGTTTGGGCTCCAAGTTGGTCTGAGTAGTGCACCTTAATGGCTTTGGCTTTTTCTTCTTGTAATCACAGAATCTTACGCAATCTCACTTGCCTTTACACTGAAAACAAATGAAAAAATTCACACTATATATACATACATATATATGTGTGTGTGTGTATATATATATAAAATACATTAAACTCATAAAAATGTGGAAAATCCACTTAATCCAGTAAACACTTATTGAAATTTTATACTTAAATACTTAAATTAAGAGTGCCATGCCCAAGATGCCAGAGAGACATGTCCTCTCAAGGGCTAAATGAGGACCGAGAGACAACCATTCCCATCATTCTGGCTCCTCTTTCTCCCACAGAATTTTCAAGCAGTTCTTCGACGTTTACTGAGAGCTCAGGGTTTGAAGATGGATGTAACCTGGCGCTGTGAGATGTGGGGTGGTGGGTTGCAGAACGCTGCACAGCGTCAAGCTCATCTTCACGACTACAAACACCTATGATCACACTTTAAAAAACAAGAATTCGGGCCGGGGATTTAGCTCGGTGGTTCCGCCACCTGGCCCACAAACGCAAGGACCTGAGTTTGATCCTCAGTACCAACAAAACAAAACAAAACAAGAAACAAAACAAAACAAACAAAAAACACAAGAATTCTGTACTTGAGTTGTGAGAAATTTTAGTTTATGGTTTCTAGAGTAGAATTCTCCAGAACTCATTCTCAATTGGCTCTTTACTTTTAGTTTACAATTAGATGCAGCATGACTTTCACTTCAGAATCGGTATACATGTCAGTTAGCATCAACTGTCATTCTTTGGAAGTTAAAGTCATTACTTACCTATTCTCCTTCCTCTCTCTTTTCCAAAAGGACTGGCAAGAAACCCCCTGGCAGCTTCCTTTCACATCACAATCAGTAGGTTCCTAATACTTCACCTGCAAAGGGCTTCCTCCTCTACTCACAACAAGACCCTCCATCGTACTGGTGCTACAGATGAAATCCCATCTCTGACAGACCAAGCATATCATCTCTGTAGAGATGACTTGTCTGGTCTGACCAGAGACAGTTTTATGGCCTCAAACAAACATTGGCTAACAAGAACACTCCAAAAAGCAAACAAAAAAAACAATCTCCTTAAAAAAAAAACCAAAACCACAACACTACAAATAAGTTACTTTTCAAATACCCAAGAATATTCTTGGTATTGGCAGGCATTCTAAATTCATTCTTTAGCCCAAGCTATGGCTTGGAAATAATAATACCACTATCTTTGAAATAACCTGTAAAAGGAAAATCTATAGTGATATACATGGGGATGTGGAGGAAACTTGAGCTTAAATTAGCTCTGTAATGTTCCAAGGCAGGTCCAGTGTGCAAAGTGTAGACCGGTATCCAGACATAGCATCCACAGCTGAGGGAACTACGCATCTGCAGAGACTAAATGGAAGGAAGTGTACTCAGGTAAGTGCCACTGCTCGGAGCGGAGCACAGGCCATGAACCTCTGGGCCAGGGGTAGTAGTGATCTGTTTGTTGGCAACGGCCAGAAGAATCACGAGGTTCCGTTCATTCCCTTGATGTTCAGGGTCATCATATAGGTCACTCAAAGGCTAGACTGCTGACACTTGTTCATTTTCTGAAAATAATGAAAACATACTTAGATGGCAGATCAGCATGTGAATAAAGACCAATTGATAATCTAGTTGTCTATTTGAAATTTTATCAGTTTCAATACAGAAATCCTCTCAAACATCCCATCAAAGCCTAGATTTTATTTTAATGACATGATTTCTGATCACACTAAAGTGTGACCATAAACTGAAATTTCATGCATGGTTTTAAATCACTTCATTACTCTACTGTGTAAAAGGGAAAAGTTTCATTTATTTTAAATAAAGCAAACCACTTTTTCAAACTATTGCCATAACTAATCAGTCAAGAGTTTGCTCTTAAGGAGAATTACATCAAGAGCATGATTCCAGACAATCTGGCATCTGAATGTCTCCACGCATTCATGTAAAACAAACTCCACTAATGTCCAGCACTCTTCAAAATTATCCTATTAGACTGAGCTGCTGTTCTACCAAAGATAATGATAATACATTTGAGTCAGCAGAAGGGTATTTATTGGGCACACAAAAATGAGTCAACTGCCTTCTTCATTTAAAAAATATACCATCAGGCCGGGGATTTAGCTCAGTGGTTCCACAGCCTGCCTCACAAGCACAAGGACCCGAGATCGATCCCTGGTACAAAAAAAAATATATACACATACACATACACACACACACACACACACACACCCCCACACACACACCCCATCATAGGGCTGGGGATTGAGCTCAGTGGCACCGTGCCTGCCTCGCAAGCGCAAGGTCCTGAGTTCAATCCCTGGTACCAACAACAACAACAACAAAAAACATCATATTTGGAGATTTTTCTTTTTTTGGAGGTACTAGGGATCAAACTCAGGGGCACTCTACCGCTGAGTTACATCCTAGCCCTTTTTGAGACAGGGTCTTGTTTAGTTACCCAGGCTGGCCTAGAATTTACAATCCTTCTGCCTAAGCTGCCTGAGTAGCTGGAATTACAGGAATGCATTACCGCATCTGGCTAAAAAATTTTTTTTCTGGCACTGGGGACTGAACCCAGGTTCTCAGCACTAAGCTACTTCCTCAGCCCATCCCTTACACCTCTGAAAATTTGAGACAGGGTCTCAGTATGCTGCCCAGTGTGGCTTGAACTTGTGATCCTCCTGCCTCGGCTTCCCATAGTCCTGGGATTAAAGGCATGCATCATCATGCCCAGCTCGGCTAATTTTTTAAACAGCAATGTCTAGCGCATTAAACCCATTATAAATCACTGTGAAATACCAGAGTAAAGACCATCACTGTGCCTGACAATTCATGTAAGAGCCACTCAGGTAGTCTCCAACATACCATCTGCTTCGCTCTCTGGGTCAGCCACATCTGCTAGTTTAGGGTGGGAGGCCTGCAAATTAAGCCTCTGAGGCCGAGTTACAATCTTCGATGAGATGCAGGCCACGGGGCTGCTACTGGGAGAGGCGGCTGGCGGCCTAGAGAGGCTGCTGGGCACCATCTTTGACCTCTGCACGGCCACACTATACTCTGGAGGCTTTAGGTGCGGGTGGGGTCCTTCCTTTAGGTCGGCTAAAGAAATTCCCATGTATCCTGGAGGAGTAGGAGGTGGCTCCCTATACCTACCATCCTTCTTGGGTGAGGTGACACAGTACACTGGTGTGAAAAATAAGCAATGAAAATGTTAATGAAAAATGTAAGAAATGAAAAAAAACACATTGAAAAATGATTACAATGGCAAAACAACTTAAAAACAGACAAAATGAGTACATTTAAATACAGTGATAGCAAATTAAAACATCTTTAAAAGCTCAATAACCTTGACAAACCTGTTTTTTAAAAATATATAAACACTACATCCAGTTTTATAAAGATTAAAAAGGATGAGAAGAGCATGCTGAAGGAGGGAGACAGCCGAGGATGAGTCTCCCTCTACAGCTTGGGTCACAGGCGTGGATGACATACTTGTCAGGTAACCCCAGAACTACAGATGACTGGGGCAGAAACACAAGCTCACCAAACCGTCTATTCTCTGTTGATCAGAATTTGCATAAAAACAGCATTTAGGCCACTTGTCTGTGAGCTGTTCTGCACTCACCCTAAGACATGACCAGTTTTGTGTTACTCCTGCATAGACTCAGCCCACGCAGGTAAACAAATTTAACTGGTAGAGATACACTAATTCTTTCAAAGATCTTTTTCTTCTTATTTTCTTGTGATGCTGGGGACTGAACCAACTACCCTGTGTTGAACTACGTCTCCAGTCCCTTAAAATTAAAAAAAAAATTACTATATGTTTCTGATACACAATGATGTCCATCGCCGAGAAATGGTTCAAATACATATCACATCCTATCCTTTCTACTTCCCTTCCCCACTTCTCCTTCCCAAGCTCCCCCCAACCATCCCCATCTCCAGCTTTTTAAATTTATTTTTTATAATTTTTATTTTTTTTCTTTTGTTGGTACATTTTAGGTATACAGTATGTTTACATTTATCATCAGGTGCTTGTACCTGTACATGATGCGTCTTGGTTCTTATTTTTTTCCCCATTACCTATGCAACCTTCACCCCCTCCACCCTTCCCTACTTACATAGACTTCGTTTCCATTTTTTTTCTTTCCTTCTAATTTTTCCTTTCCCTTCTTCTCTTTCCCCTTCCCCTCCCACCACCCTATACCTTTGGACCTTTTCCTATTTCAAATTGTGAATTATTCATTTTCATCCTTATTTAGACTTTCAGTTTCTCACACTAGAGAAACTATTTGGTATTAACACATGTGTGTCCTATTTATTCCACTTAAGAGTATGGCCTCAATACGCATCCATTTAGCTATAAATGACTAGTTTCTCATTCTTTATGGCTGAGTAGTACTCCATTATATATAAACCACCACATTTTCTTTATCCAGTTTCCAGTCGATGGGCACTTGGGCTGTTTCCAAGCTTTCGCTATTACAAACTGTGCCGCTATAAACATGGGTGCACATATATCGCTGTGGTATGATTCTTTTAATTCTTTGGGGAAGATCCCCAGCAGGGGAATAGTGGGGTCAAATGGGACCTGCAGCCCTAGTTCTCTGAGGAATCTCCACACTGATTTCCACAGTGGCTGCCCTGTCTGCACTCCCGTCCTCCTCCATCATTGGCGGGAATGTGAACTAGTACAACCAATATGGAATCAGCATGGAGAGTCTGCAAAAAATTAAAACTAGAAATTCCATTTGACTCAGCTATTTCCCTTCTCCGAATCTTCCTGAAAGAGTTAAAGCCATCATATTACAGCAGTACACGCATGTCTGTTTCTAGCAGCACAACTCATAATAGCTAAAACTTGGAAGCAGCCTATATGTCCATCAACTCGATGAATGGATAAAGAAAATGTTGTATTTATATACAACAGAGTACTACTCTGCCATAAGGGACAAACTGCAGTCATCTGTAGGAAAACAGACATACCTTGAGGCCATAATGTTAAGGGAAACCAGACACACGGCTTAAATATTGCATGGTTTCTCTCATATGAGAAACTCAAAGTATACATAATTTAAAGAGCTAAATGAAAGACAAGTAATAGGGAATAGGGAGACAGATGTTTTGCAAATGGGAAAGGGCCTAAAATGGAGGGAAGGGGAAGAGAGGAGGACAAAGGGAAGGAGAAGTAAAAAGAATGAAGATGTGTATGCACACGAACGTATTCATTATGTACTGTAAACATATACTAATAAAAATTTAAATGAGTTTTTAAAACTGGCATTTATTTCTCAATTAAAAAAAAAGGCCAGGGATTTAGCTCACTGGTTCCAGCGCTTGCCTTGCAAGCGCAAGGTTCCAAGTTCAATCCCTGGTACCAAAACAAACAAAAAAACAAACAAACAAAACCCCCCCAAAACCCCCAAACAAACAAACAAAAAGAAAACCCAGTTATGGTTACATCTGCAAACAGAAAGAAAGAAAGAAAGAAAAAGAAAGAAAGAAAGAAAGAAAGAAAGAAAGAAAGAAAGAAAGAAAGGAAAAGAAAATTTGAAAAATTCTGCCAAGAGTATTGCTAAGTTGCCCAGGCTGATCTGGAACTTGAGATTCTCCAGTCCCACCTTCCCATGTAGCTGGAATTACTGTGCCCAGCCTTACTTCTACTTGTGGTTAAGAGGAGAAGAAAAAAACATAATTTTAGGAAATTCATCTTTTTTTGGGGTACTGGGAATCGAACTCAGGACCTTGCGTGTTGTGAGGCAGGCACAGTGCCACTAAGCTAAATCCCCGGCCCTGGAAAATTCATCTTAAAATTAAATTTCTCTGATTTCCAAATCCGTTTCCCTAAGTTTGTAAACCCTGGGACTTCAAAAACTATTAGAAATAGGTGTATGAGAAGTTGCATGCACTTAAGACTAATCCACAGGTCCTGCAGGACAAATGGCTCTGGGTATCTTTTTTTTTTTTTTTTTTTTTTTTTTGGTACCGGGGATCAAACTCGGGACCTTGTGCTTGCAAGGCAGGTGCCGGAACCACTGAGCTAAATTCCCAGCCCGGCTCTGGCCATTAAATAATTCTAATGCTCTTTCATTAGAGAATTGGGTTATCTGTATTTAAATTTCTGCAGTTGTACTGGTGAAACTTGCACGTAGTGTCAAGGTCAGAAAAGAATTCCATGTCCATCTGAGGACAAGGAGGCGGGACAAGACGATGTTGGGAGAAATGTCGGGAGAAGAGAAGACTGTAAGCAAGACCTGGTGATGCACGCCTATAATCCCAGCACTCTGGGAGGCCAAGGCAGGAGGATTGCAAATTTGAGCCCAGCGTGGGCAATTTAGCAAAACCCATCTGAAAAAAAAAAAAAAAAGCAAAAAAGCTGGGCATGGTGGTGCACGCATGGAGTCCCAGCACTCGGGAGGCTGAGACAGGCGACAGGCCGACTATGAGTTCGAGGCCCATCTGAGGTACAGAGTGAATTTAAGGCTAGCCTGAACTACACAGAACCTGTCTCGAAAAACAAAAACGAAATGGAGCAAAAGAAAAAGGGCTGGAGATGTAGCTCCATACTAGAAAAAAATCTGATTTCCCCAAGAAATGAAGGTTTTTAAAATCTACAGTCCCAAATGGACCAGTGAAAGATTTTTGTGTCCTTGTACACAGGTGTGTATGTCCCTAGAGTGGTTCACTAAAACTATCTTTAGAAAAAAAATGAATGAGCTAAAAACTCATTCTATAATCCAGTGTGACAAATAACAACAAAATCAGTACATTTCCCTCATATTTTTAGTAATTAAATGTGATAGCATGAATACAGAATTAAGAGTTGATCATAACACTGATTTAGCGTACAGCCATTGTACATAAGTAGAAAAGTAGGGGCTATCACTGCATATCTAAGTATTTATATAGTTCAGAGAACGACATTTTCAAGTACTGTCTGATGGCTAATATATACTAAGTAGCTTAGAATGCAATCTATAAATTTTAGTTGACATACTCATGATATACACCAGGGAAGGTATAATAAAAAAGTTTCTGCAATTCTTTCCATTTTGTGGTGCTGAGGGAAGAACCCAGGGACTTGTGCATGCTAAGCACATACTCTACCACTAAGATCATTCTGAATTTATCACATTTTTCTCACTTTTACTTCCTAAAAGTAACTGAAGATTCAATACTTCTATCATGTATGAACAGTAGTTGTGGCCCCCAAAATTTATGAGGTGCTGACGAGAACAATTCATTTATTATACTGGATAGAAATGTGACGATATTCCTCAAGGAAACAAAAATGTTTTAAAAACATGACACACTTGTTCCTTTAATTATATACTTTAACATCAGGCTTTTCATTTTAACAGCCTGAGTATCTGCCTTAAAGCCCCTCAGTCTTGAATATGGGGGAAATACTTTTCTGCAGAAGAAAAAAAGGGTGGAATGAGTGAACAAATTTTTCCATGAATAAAATCCAAGGCTAAGATATCCCAACTTCATTTTTTTTTTTTTGCTACAATTTCTAAGTGCCAAAGATATAAAAATACACAGAACTGGGCTGGGGATTTAGCTCAGGGGTGCTGCTGCCTGCCTCACAAGCGCAAGGTCCTGAGTTCAATACCCAGTATTGAAAAAAACCCAAAAACAAGTACACAGGACTTACCGATCAAGCCCTTTTCTGTACTTGAAGTGACTGTTTTATAAACTGGGTCCAAGCCATCCGATGACTCGGCGGGGGTGGCCTCCAAAACTCTCCTTTTAACTGTCCCATAGTTTGGTTCATATGTGTCAGACAGAGAACTGGAGGAGGCCCAACTCTGTCTCAACTGACTGGTCTCTAAGCTTCCTTTACACTGCCCACAAGTTCTAGAGCAACCTTTAGGACAGGAATAGGGCTCACAATCGGTGGATTCAACTTCAGCAATGGACTCATCCAAATGAGTATGTCTGTAGGAGTTCAGAAAGTCCCAGCTTTTTGGGTTTGGAAGGCTCTGGAAGTTGTCATGGGAGTTGCTTGAACAGGAAGTCCAACTTCCACGACCACTGTCAGCTGCTTCTATAACAATATGCTCATGAGAAATCTCTTCATTGCTCAGAGAAGACGAGACAGGTAAACCCTTGATTAGAGATGGCTTTGAAAATGTCCACCTAAAAATGAAGACAATACATAATTAAGAGTAATTTACTGGCTTACTGGAAAATCTTTGTTCTTTAACACTGCAAGTCCTACCACCTACAAAAAACTATAGAACACAGTGCTAGAAACATTCACTGAAGAAAGTCAACGCTAAGGCAAAGTTTTTCTCAAAAATTTTAAAACTGATTTTATTTGTTTTGAGACAGGGTCTCGTTATTCAGGCTGGCCTCGAAACTCACAGCAATTCTCCTGTCTCAACCTCCCAAGTGCTGGGATCACAGGCATGTACCACCACACCTGGTAAACTGATTTTATTTTATTTATTTTCGGTACCAGGGATTGAACTCGGGTGCGCTTGCACAGCAGGCAGCGAAACCACTGAGCTAAGTCCCCGGCCCCTAAACTGATTTTAAATGAAAACAAAGACGAAGTTTGAAATGAATAAAATTAAGAACAACTTTTCACCCCTGTTAACAGACTACTTTCTATGCATACAGAATTAATTAAGAACTCAACTTGATGGACCATATTTTATTTCAACGTACACCAGAGGTCAGCCTCATAGGATAGTGCCAAGTAAACAGCAACTTTCCTAGCTACCTACGAGACGGGTCCCATCATTTACACCAGGGATCTCCAAACAAAGGCACATGGGCCAAATCTAGCCAAGAGCTCATTTCTGTATGGGCTGGAACAAAAACAGCTTTTTATCTTTCAAAGCATTTAAACAAAATGAAACAAAAAGGGCACAAAGAATTTGTGAGAGAGACCATATACAGCCTGCTAGTCTAAAATATTTACTATCTAGCTCTTCATAAAAAGTTTGTGGATATTGGTTTATAGCATAGCATAGAAGTCAGCAAACTACAGCCCAAGGTGAAATATGGGCTTCTGCTCATTTTCATAAATAAAGTTGTACTTGGATGCAGGGTGCCCATTTGTTTCTGTATTGTTTATGTCTGTTTTGGGGTTACAAAGGCAGAGTAGTTGTAACTACTCCTATGTTGCACCCTGTGAAATCTGAAATATTTACTATCTTTTACAGAAAAACTTTGATGATCTCAGGTCTACGGAATCTCTGTTTAGACACCTTTACAAATATAATAATACTTTAGTATTTAATCTTAAGTACTGCATATTAAAGCAGACCAGATTTAACAATATTTATCAGTTCAGAATCAACTTTCTTAAAGATTTCCATTTTGCTTGATTCTGAACAGAAATTTAGAAATGGAAATTTAAAAAAATTAACCTTTGCTATTAGATGATTTTTATTCTCCAAATAGTACTTCTGGAGAATAAGGATCAAGGCCTGGTTCTACTCTCCCAAGCTGTCTACCATATGCACAACACTGGGGGCCACTTCTTATTACACAGCTTTTGGGCAACCTCTAACCTAATAGCCAAGATTTTAAGAACCACCTTCCTCCTGTCAATAGTGAGCACGTGTTGAGTTCTCATGGATTGAAAAATATATAATGATAGGAAGCTACTTGAATTCAGCAACTGTTTAAAATTAAGTACCTAAGCTGAGCGTGATGATGCATGTTTGTAATCACAGCACTCTGGGAAGCTGAGGCAGGAAGATAGCAAGTTTGAGCCCAGACTGGGCAACACAGGGACTGAGACTCTGTCTCAAAATAAAAAATAAAGGGCTGGGGTGGTGGTGGGGAAGAGTATCCACATCTTTCAAATAGTACTTATTTCCGTATTTGGTACAGAGGACATGTGCTTGGCCTTGCTACTACTCCAAGGGGGAGCATACAGGGCAAAGCTGGGGAGCATGGCTTGTGACGGCCTTTGGCTTGGTTTTGTGGAAAAGCCAAGGATGTTTACCCAGGTCCAAGATGACCGTGGTCTCCTGTCCCCGGGGGGTGCTCTGTCTTTTCCAATGTCCCAGTGGGTTCAGGGACTGCCATGGACTGGGAGCAACACCGCTCATCCTGCAGAGCTGCAGACATGGAGTCAACAGAACAGTTGCTCACGATGCTGGACCGTGAAGAAATCTCGCTGTGGCTGGAGTCAGACAAGTTGTCAGATTTAGCTGATGGTGTAAGTGTGTAACCTGAACAAGAAAAGAGCACTGATCAAACCACAAGGCACAGGAACAGGGGGTAGGGGAGTCAGGGAGGGAATAAAGAGAAGAAGAACAAAAGACAAAGTAGTAGCAATCTCAGTTCCCATCTAATGGAGATGCAACGGTGCCAATTTCTCCCACACATCTCTCCACATTCATTCATCTACTTACCTTCACCAAACCAATACAGTTCAAGAAAAATAAAGTCAAAATGCATTATTACTGAGAAATTTACTCCAAAGGTATATCTTGCAGAAGTTCTCACAGAGCTACAAGTATTTAATAAAACAAGTTCTCATTTTTAAACTATATACATTACCCCAGGCGTTCTGCTTATGCCACCTAAAAATTGTTGCCCTGAACTAATACTCATTGTTTCAACATTTTTATTTATTTTATTTTTATTTTTTGCAAAGCTAAAGACAGAACCCAGGACATCACATAGGCTAAGCAAATGCTCCACCCTCAGGTCTGTCTTAGTATTTTTCAATAGATTGTTTTAAGGTTGTTCCTAATTTTATACCTAGTTTCTTTTTACTTCATCTTTGTAGAAATTAAACAGCTGAACTGACGATTTAAAATAATGTATAATGAAAAAAACAGCATCTACAAGGTTTAACTTCTATGACTTACTGCACAGCAGATAGCTAGAGATTTTTTCTTCTGTATTCTTTGGGATAAAGGAGTAGGGATGGAATGAGGTTGAAGGATTCCAAAATAAATCTGCAGCATGATGGTTAAATGTACATAATAGTCTGATAAGTGAAAGAAATCAAACTTTTGTTTAGAAATAAAAGATAATGACTAATCCCAACAAGGGGTAGGTCTCTTAAGAAGTGAACAGTATCTTCACGTTCACAAAAAGAACACAGCCAGGTTCTAAAGTATATGATCTTTGGATCACTCTCTAGAAATCTCATTAAAAAGAACTAGAGGCTCTGAACATGTTCCAAGAATTTTCTGGGACCCCACTTCTTTGTGTAAGGAGGAAGACAACCTAAGCTCCAAGGTCCTTCTTCTGCTATAAGGATCTGAGAGTTTACACATATTAATCATTAAAGAGAAAATTTTTTGCACAATACTCTTATTAGCTTTATTAACTATTTCAATGAGAAAAATCAAGACCCAGAAAACTTGTGATTTTTTTACTTGCTTATGGAACCAAAAAGCAGAGGGCCAGGGATTTAGCTCAGTGGTGCCGTGACTGTCTTGGAAGCGCAAGGTCCTGAGTTCCATCCCCGGTACTGAAGGGGGGCGGGAATAGAGAAGCCAGTCTCCTGATTTCTATCACACATCTTTGAGGTTGGGGACCACTGATGTTTGCCAGGGCCCATGCACTCACTAGTCAATTTCTTTTTTTATTATTATTTTTTTATTTTAAATATACAGTAGGAACATTTAACACTTCTAAAAGATATTTCTCCATGCTCATTGGTCAATTTTCAAGGGGACCAAGAAAATGGATGTGGTTAATACAAAGCAATAGCAAAAAGCCTTCCTCAAATGAAAAAAAAAAAAAAAACCACTGCTTTTTCTATCCTATGGAATAGATGTGCTACAGTGTTTCAAAAATAATTTTATTCTGGGCCCGGGATTTAGCTCTGTGGTTTCACCACCTGCTGCGCAAGCGCAAGGACCCAAGTTTGATCTCTGGTACCAAAAAAAAAAAAAAAAAAATTTTGTTCTTATGTTTGTAAGAACAAAATTTCTCAAATATCATGAATTCTAAGAATCACCCGGAAACCTTATTAAAATACACATTCCAGGAACTTCTGAAAATTCTAATTTCTGAGGTCTGAGGTGGGATACAGCTTTTTAATTTTGGCGGCACTGGAGATTGCAGCCAGGGCCCTTGCACTGAGTTATCCCCATCCGCCTCTGAGACAGGGTCTTGTTAAGTCACTAATCTCCCAGGCTGGAGTCAAACTTGTGATCCTCCTGCCTTAGCCTCCCACTGTGGTGGGATTACAGGCATGTGCCACCACGCCCAGCTAGTGACTGCTCGCTTGTGTTTATGTATGTACGCATGCATGCACTTATTTACTGACTGACTGACATGGTCCCACACCATGTAGCCCAGGCTGGCCTTGAACTTGGGATGATCCTCCTGCCTTCGCTTCCTGAGTGCTGGGATTACAGGCATGCACCATTACACCTGCCAATAATTGCATTTTACAACAAGTTTTCCAGATGATTTTGAACCTGCTATTACTAACTCATCCTCTTCCAACCAGAGGTATGTGCAAAGTAGATGATGTAAAAAGTGTATGTGGAAAAGATGCAATTTCTTGGCCCAAAACATCTTTGTCCACTAGCTTATGAAGTAGAGGAAGTATTTTAAGGTGGCAATAAAATTCTCTGAGGCGAAGGTGAGAAGCAAGACTACTGGGCATTTTATGCTTAAAGCGAGCACTGATCCTAAAAAGCTTCCTCCACTTATTTCACTCACAGATCCAGCTGATACCAGCAGAAAACAAAGCCAACTACAGAAAATAAGAGTATAACGTTTACTACCTCAATACATTAGTAAAACAGCATGTACAAATAAGGCACTTTAAATCAGTCTTTGTAGCCAGAGAATCGGCAATACTAACCATAAAATGCTTATTGATAGTATTTACTAAGTTATCTGTCCAACCTTTGTTTGACAAATGGTTTAATTCAACTACATTTACATTAACAACTGAAAACAAACTTAATACTAAAATTAAATAAGGAACCTGGTCAGATCGTCTTTCTCCTTTTAGACTTGAATCGCGTATGGAAGCAGTTTAAGGCATTACTGTTGCCTCGGCTATTTGAATGGCAGGTGTCACTCCCTTTCTCATCTGTGATGTTGCTCCCAACATCCTTCACTTTCCCACAGCTGTCTGTAGCTTGATGGTGATCTGAGTCCTCTTTTTGGCTGTTGACTAGTCTCTCCCTTGAGAGGGTTCTTTCCCTAAATCTTCTAAACGGGGATGTCATTCTTTTTCTGGTTGTGTTCTCACAACTTGTCCTGTCTCTATCTTCCTCAGTGGCCTTCTTGGTCCTGTCTGTTCTTTTGGCTGTGCTCCTGGTAATCTGAAGGATTTTCTTTTGCAAGTAAACCCCGCCTATTCCGGGGCAGCTCTGGCCACTGATCTTGGTGCTGGATGCACGGGGAGGGGATGAGGAGGACCCTGAGAGGCGCAGCAGGATGCTGTGATCAGATAGGACACTGCCAACTGGAGGGAGAGATGCAAAAACTCTGACATAGTCAATTAGTCACAATTAGCCTGGCTCATAGATAACATTCCACTATTTAAAGCTTATTATCTTGACAATATCTAAAATATCAAAATCTAGAAACATTTTTTAATGCATGGAAAATCTATTATGCAGCATAAACACAACAGTTATTACACGAAAGAACACAGGAGAAAGATTACCTGGACCAGAATAAACTGGTGATAAAAACTCTGTTGAAAACAAGCTAAGCTGATAAGATTATAAGGGAAAATATGACAATATCAGGTAACCTGAACTATTTCTCAAGAAATTATGTATGCCTAGAATTTTCAGGCAGATTTTATTATAAAAAGTTTAATGAGGACCAGACAGAATGGGGTGTAGCTCAGTGGCGGAATGGTTGCCTAGAATGCCATGAGACCCTGGGTTCAATTCAAATCACCAAAAAGGACACAAACCAAAAAGGACACACAAACACTGTGTGTAACAGGTGTATTCATACAGCAACATTTCTGATGGTTCTGTGCCTCCGAGCTGGAGAGGTGGCCTTTCATAAGCAATCTTGACTTCTTTTTTAAAGTTCTTATTTACATTTTCCTTGTGAAAAACATGAAATAGTTCTACTTCCTTAATTGTATAAAAACAACCAATTCCAAAGTTTACCCAGAACTCGAAACAGATCGTGATAGAATACATTTAGTGTAATGACATTTTTGTTCAACCACAGACAACTAGCAAAACCTCCTCTCCAGAGGAGCAATACTACAGTCAGTTGTGGTTTTAATAGAAGATACATAACAACTAGAAACAATGTTGGAAAAAAGAATTTCCTCTGGCCTCTGAGGATTCTAAACAGACTATAACAAGTTCACAAATGTATAAACACTACTCAACTGTTAGCTACACACTGAAAGACAATGGAGAAAAGACCTTTCTATTCCAGTGGTGAGAGTGGGCTTTCTGCTGGGAATATGAACAGTGAGGGTACTATTCTCATCCCTGACACCCCCTTCCCTGTCACAGTCAGGCATGAAACACCTAAATCAGACCAGTACTGTAACTCCCTGCTCTCAGAATTGTCTAATGGCGTGGACCCAGGGTCTCCACAAGGGGCGAAGGGTGTCACATGCTTTATCAGCACGTGGGCACAGTTCATGAAATCCCTCCATCTGGCTGCAGTATGGCTGCCAGTCCCACTCATCGAGATCTAACGAGACACTCAAGTCAGAATCGGACAGACAAAAGGACACAGGTCTATATGCTTCATAAAATCTTAAAGTGAGCTACAACAGTATCAGAAATGTGTACTTCAGGCTGGGGATTTAGCTCAGTGGTTCTGCTGCCTGCCACGCAAGCGCAAGGTCCTGAGTTTGATCCCCAGTACCAAAAAAACCCCTAAACCAATAAAATTAGAGCAAATTATTAAATATTTTTTTAAAAAGTGTGTATTTCAAAGACACACCTATTGTATATACTGTTTGATGTCCTGCTTCATTTTCACGAAGCTTTCCTTAGTAAAATCTCAACATTCTATCCAGCCAGTCCCAGCTATGTGAGGGTGAGAGACAGGGGAGCAACGGAGCTACGTTGCCCCGTGGAGGGGGGCGGAGGCGGAGAGGAAGACACTAAATTGGTGCTCACCACATACTAGGCTTTGAAATTCTGTTTCATTTTAACCTTATATAAAGGCCTGAAACAGATGGTCTTTTTCTCAACCTTTCAGAGAGGAAACCTGACCTTATAGGTTACATAGTAACAGATATAGCAAGGCATAGTCAGGATCACTGTCACATAGGTGGTAAAAATAAGATTCCTGAGAAGTGAGAGGAAACTGAATGTGGGAGCTGGGGCAAGCTCTGGAATTAACAGGTTTGTCTCCTCTCTGACCATGCACTGTCCTGTGGTATAGTTATTCAAAGATGTAATTTTTTCACATCTGTGAAGAAGATCCCAGGACTAGAATGCCTTTCCCCAAGTTACACACAGAGTGTGAGATGCCAATGTAAGAAACACACACTACTCAGAATGCTACAAGTGCATCAACATGAAACAGCCTCTCCATGCACTGGCCAAGCCAGCCAAGAAAGGCTTCAGTCTTGATTATGAAAACACACGTAAAAGAACAAGAACAGTTTTGAACTGTTTTTACCTCACCAAGTTTAGGATAACTATCAATGTAAAAATCTGTAAAGGTATATGTTATTTAAATCTTTTTTTTTTTTTTTTTTTACTATGAAAACATTTTTATTAAAGTAATTAAAAGTCAAAAATAACAACAAAAGGGAAATTCCACAGCCTGTTTGCAACTATATAATCTTTATGTAGAAAAACTATAAACTGACAGTCCGATATGAAAAGCAGCTCCACAATAATCCTAATCCTTGCATAAAAGTAACTAAACTAGGGCCAAGGATTTAGCTCAGTGGTTTCGCCCCCTGCTGCACAAGCGCAAGGACCTGAGTTTGATCCCTGGTACCAAAAAAACCCCCACCTAGATGTTGTTGAAAAGTAACTAAACTATGGAATCAGTTCACCCTAAAGAAACTGTCTTACTGTAGAATATTTCAGCTGAGCTGATTTCAACTATATAGAAAATATGAAGGAGGTTGAGGATTTAGCTCAATGGTTCCACCACCTTCCTCGAAAGCGGAGGGACCCCAATTCGATCCCTGATACCAAAAAAAAAAAAAAAAAATATGAAGGACAACATCAAGAACCAGCATACAGTATGAACCATATCATGTAAAGGTACAAATTCCCAATGATGAATGGCATCATACTGTATACCTAAAATGTGCCAATAAACTTAATTAAAAGAAAAAAAGAAAAAAGAGAGAGGAAAAACAAGAAACAGCACAGACCAAAACAACTGCACCGTCTGCCTTTATGTTTACCTACGCATTTCCTCTGTCAAAGAAGAAACACAGTTTGAATACTGGAGTCCTAATTACATGATGCGTAATACCTGAAAAGCATTCAAATAATTACATATGAAACATCAAAGTTCAAAAGGTAAGTCTTAGCGGTTACACTTTTCTGAAACACTATTACTTGCTCATAGACCGAAAAGCAAAATACATGCTGAAAAGTGTTGCCTGCTCAAACAACCTGAAATGGTTTGTCTTACCTTTGCGAGGGGAACCTTGAGGAGATGCAGGAGGACTAGAATGTAACGATGACGCCACAGAAATCACGTCTTCTGTATGTTTCTTACCACTTACTTCTTCAGTTGGTCCTAAAACTTTCTGAGGTAAACCTGTACCTGAAAATAAAACCAAAGAAGTTATAGACATCATTTCACAATGAAAATGCTGGTAACTGCCTAAATCACTACGTAACTAGAGCCATGATGCACAATGGCTAGTGTAGTCAACTGAAATGTGTAAATGACAAACGGACTACATGGCTGGGTAATGGCATACAGAGATTCTCACCTCTAGGTTATAAGTTCAAAATTAGCTGGTCCACATGGACCAATTATAATAAACTGTTCTGGCGCAGAAGGGAAATCAATTTAACAGTCCGCGTATAGTGCCCCACCTCCCACAATTGACACACTGCCTTGCAGTCTTTAGAAAGACAGATTCACACTCTTCCCTCCCCTCTAGAGGTGGCCTCTCCATGGCAGAGCAAGGCATGTGGTGGGGCAGTGTGGGGATGCTGGCACTGTCACTACCTGTGGTGCATCTGTGTTGTGGGGATACAGGAGAGGCTGCAGGGCTGCCAGTCCAGCCCTCTCAAGAGCACTAAATTCACACTACAGGAGAGAAGTAAACAACAGAAAGAATTATGAATTTATAGGAAAGTAGTATGGAGCCCACTGGAAACATTTTTGTGAAGTTCTCTCATTACACTTATTCAACAGCTGGCCCTGTTTTTTTTAGGCAGGGTCTCATTACATAGTTCAGGCTGGCCTTGAACTCATGGCGATTCTCCTGCCTCAGCCTCCTAAGTGCTGGGATTACAGGTGTGTACCACCCCTGGCTGGCCCTGTTTAATATAGAAATCATTTTAAAACACTGATTTTTTATATATACGTTTGCTAAGAAATGTGAAAGATCTACTGATGCCATTCTTAGACAGTAAAGCAAGCACAGCTCTAATGAGGGTCTGGCACAGAAACAAGCAGCCTTCTGTTGAAAAAGCTTTAATCCCAGTGGACCCACACCAGTTGAATATGACTTTAATATAAATACTGTGTATTAGCCATAAATAATATCCACGCTTCATCAGGAAAGAAAAGCTACCTCCAAATCATACTGCTCTCATGTGATGATGCCTAAACAAGAAACCAGAGCTAAATCAGTTGCCATCTCACTCCTACTAAGAAATGTATCGACTATGCCAATTTTTAACCCAATCCACTTTTCATTTTCATAGACAGGAAACTAGTCCAGGCTTTGAACAACTTCCAGCCAACTGTTACATGACCTTCCCAGCCAGGCTTTCTGCCTCCAGTCTTGCTGCACCCCTACTATAGTTCTTATCAAACATCATTTGGACCCTGATGTTCTTCTGCTCAAATCTCTTTAATGACTTCTCACTGATGACTGGGTGTTTAGCACAGGACAGCACCATTTTATCATCATTTCACTTCCATCACCCTACAAGTACAGAGGTTAAAAGCAAGAACTTAGGGGCTGGGGATTTAGCTCAGTGGTTTCGCCGCCTGCTGTGCAAGCGCAAGGACCCGAGTTCGATCCCCAGGACCAAAAAAAAAAAAGCAAGAACTTTAGAGCCAGTTGGCCTGGCTCCACTCCCAGCCTGATCACTTACCGTAGCCCAGGTAAGCTACTGATGCTCTGTGCAGAAAGAAGGTAAAACACTACCTAGCTTACTGGATTATTATGAGCACTAAATGAATACATAAAATTAGCATGGTACTGTGAAATGTGCCTAGAGTTCATAATGTGCTAAACATTAGCTTCAGTTACCATGGTGAACAACTCTGCATGTGGTCTGCAGCCCCATCAGCAAAGTGCTTGGAGCTCCTGCAGACATCAAGCTGCTGCTTCTGCTGGAAGCAGCTTCTCTAGACCCTCTTTATAATCACTACACTGCTATCAGCCCAAAGGCTCTGTGTGCTCTCTCCAAAAGCCTTTTCCTAAAGTCCCACCTTCCTTCTGACTCTGTAAAAAGTGCCTTGGTTTTTTTCACATGTTGTGTGCATATATACTCCTGGCACAAAAGCAAGCGCATTATACTGAAGTTATCTGTTTACACATCTGTGGGCCAGGGATTTAGCTGAGTGGTTCCAGCGCCTGCCTCGCAAGCACAAGGTACCAAGTTCGATCCCTGGTACCAAAAAAAAAAACCTTATCTGTTTATGCATCTGTATCATCAGATTAAAAATCTGGCAAAGGAGGGGGCACTTCTTAGTCAACTTTGTTTCTCAAGTCAAATTCATAAACTTATATCGAATATATAAGCACGTATTACATATAATGTTTAATAATGCTAGGAACCAAATCTAACTTTGATTTCCATCTAAAAATTAAAATAGTGATACTATTAAAACAATAAATAAAAGTAATTCATAAATCTACGTGGCCTAAAAGAGGAAAAAAAAAGTATGGTCCATACTTCATGTACTTCACACTTTCTTCTCTCTCCTAACCAGGTTTACAGAAAGCGTCATTAGTAAAAAAAAAAGTATAGTTATTTTCCTAATAAGCAACTTGATTGTCATAGTTTTTATAGGTTCCATCTGCATTAGATATTTGATTAAATATAGATCTGAATGCAGCAAACCCTTAACGTGTTGCCCAAGATTTAAGGTAAATCCCCAAGATATATTGTTTTATGTTGACAAACATTTCAGCATTACAGAAATTCTAAAATCAGCATTTAAAACACATCTCTATAGGCAAAATGAAATGTTTATTCATTTACATAGTGATCATATCCTCCAAGCATTTGCAATTCTTTGTCACTCTTAATTCCGCTGGAAATTTTGATTACATGAATATAACATCAGTCGTGAATATACTCACTCAAGGCAGGGTCTTTTGCTTGTCCCTTCTTCCTTATAGGGTGCAAATTAACAGCGGGCACTTGAAGCACCTGGCTCACTCTGTGGGGCTGGTGCAAGTGGGCTTTAGCCACCTGGTTTGCTGACCTCATAGGCACTGGAGACATTTCAGATGATTTGGCTGATCTTTTCTCATTTAAATTCTTGGTCACTAATAGGAGAGGGAACAGGTAACTCTTTTAAAGACAAGACTGTTACCATTACGAATAACTCATTTTTAGCACACAAAAAATAAAATATTTTCTTAAAAGGAGTTCCATTTAAGTATTATAAAATGTTATCCCTGGAACTGCTTTGAAATACATTGTTACTTTTATCTCCTGAAAAATTCTTAGATCCATTAACTTTATCAGCTCCATCTCTGCCATCACTCTGCTGAAAGCTAACATTCTCTCATCTACACTGCAGCACTGCTTCTCTTACTTTACCAATTCCAGCTCACCTTTACACCATCTCTACACAATAGCAGAGTACTCCAAAACAAGGTTTATAAGCCCCCACATAATTTAGCATCAGCCTGCCCTCTTGAAGCAGATACCTTGCCTCTCTTCAATTCCACATTCTCTATTTCTATTTAAATCAGCCTTTGTTCAATTTCCTAGACTGGAAGGTTCCCCACTTGCTGCGACTTTCTGACAAACTTGCTCACAAACTTAGGGAACAATTTCCTAAATCCACACAGCCTGAGGCGGCTAGAGAACCCTGACTTAAACAAAAGCTGCCTCTTTCTTATAAAATCAATACTACAGTCCAAAGGAAAGAAATTCTTCCTTAAGCAGTACTTTTAATCCTTCAGTCAGCTACTCAGGATGGTTTCATGTAGGTGCAACTTCTGAACTTCAGAGAGGTTTTGTACCCAAAGATAAAAGAAGTAATAGATGTTTAACCTCAGCACAGTTGTAACAGCAATTCTGCTTTTATTATGAGAGCCTAGAGAATATTTTGGGTCATAAGAATCAGAACATCTCAGAAAGCTAAAACACTGGGACTCCAGTGGACAATACACATTGGTTCACTAATTAATTGAATCCAAGAATCATTTTTTAGTTATGAAACTAATTTCTTTTTCTAAATACTATTCAATTCTTGATTTCATTGGCATTTTAATAACTGTCACAGTGCAAAAAAAAAAAAAAAAAACAAACCCCAAAATAAAAACAAACAAAAAACCTGGAGAGATCACTTAAAATATGAAAGAGTTTGCAGAAGAATGCCCCAAACCGCATATTAATTAGCAAGAACTCAACTGATGCTCAGAAATGAACTATATCTGGGGATGGGACAGTCATTTAAATCTTTAAAAATATATTCTGTACTAACAATCAAATTAAGACAACAAATTAAAGAAATATGCATTGAATTACATTTTCAAGTCCAGCTTCAGAAAGAAAAGCCCACATGCTTTCTCACATCAAATCAGTATCAATATGCATTTAGCGTTAGGAGGAAAGATAGGGAAGTCTGGGCCGGGTGTAGGAGGAGAGAGGCATATACAGCTGTGTATGTGTGGGTGTATCTGAAACAACCTTGTATCAGACAAATCACAAGATAAAAACTCTGCCTTGAGTTATCTGAGGAAAAAAAAACTTTGATGATAATTCAAAGAGTCAGAGGGCTTCAATAAATTAAATATACATTTGCCTCTAGACTTTAAAACACAGATAAAATTTAAAGGTTCCTATATTCTACTTTTGACATGTATCACTTTCACATGGTTATTATTGCTATCCTATGTGATGTTTCCCAGATACCATCCAATACTATATACACATATTATTTCAATAAATAATGAAATTATTTTTAATAAAAATTATAAATGATTTTACTAGTCATATACTATTCTGTTTTTTTTTTTTTTTTTTGGTACCGGGGATCAAACTCGGATCCTTGCACTTGTGCAGTAGGCGGCAAAACCACTGAGCTAAATTCCCCAGCCCTAGTCATATACTATTCAATTCTTATGTATCTAGCATCTAAATTTCTTTATCATTGTAATATTGCAACGTGTTTATATAAGTAGATTTTTAGGTGCATTATCTTATTAGAATACAATGCTAGTATTGGGTACCTCAGAGAGTTGAGGAATACATAACGATATTTTTTGGGTTTTTTTGTGTGTGGAGATGTTGTCTCACAGGGCCGGGGATTTAGCTCAGTAGTTCTGCCGACTGCCTCACAAGTGCAAGGTCCCAGTTTGATCCCCGGTACCAAAAAAAAAAAAAAAAAAGAGATGGTGTCTTACTGTACTGGCCAGGCTGGTCTGCAATGATTCTCCTGCCCAGCCTCCCGAGGAAGTGGGACTACAAGCATGCATCACAGTACCTAGCCAGTGACAATGTTTAAAAAGTACTTAGCCAAGATTGTTAGCTTTTATTATTTTACTCCATTCTCCAAATGTCATATATAATTTTATTTTATTTTATTTTTTGGTACCGGGGACTGAACTCGGGTCCGTCCACTTGTGAGGCAGGCGGCGGAACCACTGAGCTAAATCCTCAGCCCCTTGATTGTGATTTTTAGAGGAAAACATTTAACCCACAACTCAGTGATCTCACCATCTTTGATTTCTCCTCTCAGTGTTGGCCCCCAGACACATGTGTTTTGTTGCTTGTACTTAAATAGTGGGCTGGGAGTGCAGCTTGGGGTAGAATACAGTGGAGGAGGACAGCAGGGAGGTGGGTTATCAGGACTAAGGATATAATGTCTTTTCTCATTGTACTTAGTAGCTATTGATGATATAAGAATGTCCTTTTGTTTCAACTTACTGACACCTATGTCCAATTTAAAATAAATTTCTTATATTTTCTAGTTGGCAAATGATATTATCCATTAAATTACAAAAGGTAGCCAGGGATTTAGCTCAGTGGTTCTGCCGCCTGCCTTGAAAGCTCAAGGTCCAGAGTTCAATCTCCGGTACCAAAAAAAGGTAAAAATTTCATTTATTTTACTATTTAGGGTGAATGCAAAAATGTTCTCAAATAGAAAGCCTTCTCTATAATGTTCTAGTTTTTAAAAGATGTCTTTATAAAGCTGCTTCCTCTACTTTTTTTTTGAGACAGGGGCTTGGTTTGTAGTTCAGGCCGGCCTAGAACTTGCAGCAATTCTCCCACCTCAGCCTCCTGAGTGCTGGGATCACAGGCACGTGCTACCATGCCCGGCTAAAGCTTCTTAAAGAACTATTTATCCTTCTATTTTTGGCAGGGTAAACATCAGGGATGGGTGGGATTCAGAATCTAATTAATAGAATCACACGATGCTTGGAGTACGTCAGTAATCTTTTTTTTTTTTTTTTTTTGAGACAGGGTCTCACCATGCAGTTCAGGCTGGCCTTGAACTATGTAATCCAGGCTGGTCTTGAACTCATGGCAATCTTCCTGCTTCAGCTTACTGTGTTCTGGGATTAGAGGACTGAGCCACCATGCCTGGCTTGTTGGTAATCTTTGTGAATGAAAGTTTTAACAATTTTACTGGGACTTCAGTGTAAGAACTGAGTTTCTCTTTTCTTGTGGTCTTTCTGCCATGTACATGAAAATCTGTACTCACAGGTACCATAGGCAGGTTCCCACTGCAGCGACATTATCTGGAACTTCTCCTCATCCGTCTCTACATCCAGACTGCACAGATACTGCTTTACCTTCCTTGCCATCTGCGCATCCTCATACAGCTTCTTGGCATTGAGCAGAGAGCTGCGACGCGCTCTTTTCTTGTGAGCGCCTCCTTGAACATCCAACATGTTTGAATTTGTGCTGCCTTGACTCAGTGACCTTAAGAAGAAGGAAACTATAATAAGAAGCTGTAAAGATGAGAACTAAGCATGGGAGAATCAAGATTAAAAGATTTTGTTCTGTTAATGCTATTGCATGCTGATGTAAATGAGTTAAAAGATGAAGAGCATTAATGCAAAGTCATTTGGCACACAGGACAATGTTCTGAATTAAGAACAAGATTTGGCAAAATGCAGAATAAAGAAAAAGGTATCAATTTCTCCCTGAGCAACATTTTCCATCACACCTGTGGTTGTGCCTATCTGACCCATGACACAATTGTGACAAGAAATGGCATTCCTCACACCCAGAAGATGCGGCAGAAAGCAGGGTCAGTCAGACCTGTGCACATGGATCTCCAGCAAGAGAGTCTCTGGAGCAGCGTACTCCTCCTCCGTGCTGCTGTGCAGATGCTGCCGCCGCCACACTGCTGCTCACAGAGCTGACCCTGCACAGGCTGACAAATTCTACCAGTCATCAAATTTTGGCCAAAATTCAAAGAGAACAACCAGTAAGCTATTAGCTCAGAAATGCAGTAAAATGTTACTCAATGTTTCCATTCATATACGGAATGGTCAGGCAGTATTTGGGTTCTAGAGGTGAGGATCAAAGATTTTACTTTCATAATGCCTATGAATGTGCTACAGCTGCAGCTGGGTAGAAATAACCACAATGTAAATGACTGCAGCTTCACCTAACTCTACTCCTTGTACAATGACTACAACTAAAACCAAAGGAAAACAGTAATTGCAATGCTTTTTCTAACAAGGCTAGCTAAGGTTCTTAGAGAGAATTTATTTTAAAGGAAGTTGCCACTCCAAAATGAATATTTATAGATTTTCTAAATTAGCCTCATATTTACATAAAAATATTCTACAGACTACCATACAATAATTTGTTCCTAACTACTCACTTATCTAGTTTAAAATAGTCCTTGAATCCTAATGTTTTCAGTGTAATTGAGGGAAATAATGATGAAAAAGTGCTATGGTATTTTCTTTCCTGTCACATTTTAAGGTCTTTGAAATAGAGGTATGTCTTACACTCGACAGCAACTTTCACTTGCTACTGGTTAGGCAGAAACTGGTTTGTCACTACTCACATTGCAGAAACCTCCAAACTTGCAGAACGGTTTGGGAGAAAATCCACTGACATTACAGATTTATCCTTTTAAACTCCAGGAAACAACTATAGAATGAATCTGATAATTCCAGTAACATTCCCAAAAGGTATGAAAAGGAGGCTACCTAGCCGGGCACGGTGGCACACACCTATGATCACAGCACTTGGGAAGGTGAGGCAGGAGGGTCACTTCGAGTTCGAGCACAGCCTGGGCTAGTGAAACTTTGTCTCAAAAAAAAAAGGCTACCTCTATCTGTGAGGCCAGCCAGCACCAGAAGCTTTTAGTTTTCTGTAGCTTATTTGAAAATATGCATCACCAATGCACTGGATGGCACAGAAGGCAACACTGTGTATGGTGGGGAAACTCAGAATCCAAGAGTTGTGAAAGTGACTCAGAAGATTCAGTCTGAATTAGAGAGATCTAAACCCATTTACTTTGCTTATATTTTCCTTTTTATGTATGTATGGCCAAGGATGTTATGTGGTAAAAATCCACAGCTAAGTCTCCAGACTTGTAAGAGTTCTTATAATCAGCAAACAGTAAAAATTTTCAGTGGTAAGAGGAGACTGCAGTGGTTTTTCTTGGTAGTGTGTAAAATAATGGTGCATCCAACAATTGATGATGTATTGGATTCAAAGAAATAGAGTAAAATTAAATCTTAACCTAGGAGCAAAATTTATTTCTAATATTTAATTATTTCATCTGAGCTGATGTCCACAATAAAAAGAAACAAAAAGAGGCTGCCAACAAATCCAGGATAGATAAAAATTCTAATAACTGAAAATATTATAATAAATCATAGTAACATATTTCTAAACTATTTCCAAATGAAGATACCCCTAATCAAGAATCATCCAATGCAAACTCTAAAGCTAAATAGTGAATGTGTTTTACAGAAGTTATTCAATCACCCCCAAAATCCAAATATTTTTCTTTACATTAAGAATGCCAGGCATCAACTTCTACTTTTAGTTAGAAGAAACAGAAAAGACCAAAACGTAAATGTATGATACAGAAGGGTACATAAGAAACACGACACAGAATGGAGAAACAAAGTACAGTTAGGTTCACCAAGCTTTAACAGAGAGCAAGACCACAAAAACAAGACTCGAGGTGGTGGCTCACAAAAACATTCTTACATATCACGAAAGCATCTAATTTCAAGGTTCACTAGTCTCGAAATAACAAAATTCTTTTCTTAAGCAACTCCACCCCCAAAACCATCACTTTCTTTAACTAAAAATCAAAGATGAGGTACAAGATATATAAGATTCCTAACATTCAATGATTCTAAATAGAAATATAGCTATGTAGAAGCAGAGATCTGAGCCTACTTTAATAACAAGGTGCAAGTTTCTCATTCTATCACAGTTTTATGGAGAGATATGTCTTTAAGTAAAGCTGGTAGAAATTTAAAATAAATTTCAATCAGTGCTGGAAGTCTCAGGCATTAGTGGATCTGAGGAATTAAAATCATCTTCTAGTTCAATTTCATAGTACAGCTTATATACAAGCTGCCTCTTTTTGAAAAACAGATGGTAAATGCAACCTTTATAAACAGATCTCTCATCCATTTTTATATACTGAAATAAATTTACTTTTATAAAATATGCCATTTGAATAAGACAAAGTGAAGTGGACCCCTGAATCACAGTGGTGAGGTTTAAGCCCACCATTAACCAGCTGTAAGACTTTGGCTGTAAGACTTCCCATCTTCCCCAGCTGTACCATAGGAACAGCAGCATCTGTTCACAGGGTGATAAAACAATTAAGTAAGATCATTCATTCTGGGGGCCGGGGATTTAGCTCAGTGGTTCCGCCGCCTGCCTCGCAAGCGCAAGGTCCCGAGTTCGATCCCTGACACCAAAAAAAAAAAGATAATTCATACTGAGAGCTTAGAATGGGGAACAGCACACAGCAAGTATACAACAAATATGCACTACCATCAGCAGCATCGTTATCTAACTGAATCTGCTAATCCTATATCTAAAAAGGGTTTACAAGGGCAGGGGATTTAGCTCAGTGGCACTGTGCCTGCCTCACAAGTGCAAGGTTGTGAGTTCGATCCCCAGTAACTCCCCTCCCCCCAAAATTCAAGTAAGATTAAAGTAAGGTTTGATTTTGCAGGCCGGGGATTTAGCTCAGTGGTGCCACCACTTGCCTTGCAAGCGCAAGGTCCTGAGTTCGGTCCTTGGTACGAAAAACAAAAACAAAAAAACTATAAAAAGGGTTTACAGAACATCAATAGTGGAAGAGTTAAAAAAATAAAAGCTAGTTCTATCACTACTTCACCTTGTTAGCAAAAGGCATTTGTCAGGAATGTAGGTTGACAGAGTTAATAGAATGCATGCTACTTTATATGCGTGCATTAATGAGAAGGATGCAGTATGCATTAAGAGTTACACAACCTTCACTCCAGTTGTGTTCATCTCTACACTTACCCCAGACTCCGCCACCTCTTCTTCCTGTAAGCAAGAGCCACAAACATTGAAGCATGTGTTTGAACAGGAAAGCACAGAAAAAAAGACAACAGTTGATAGTCAGAGAAATTATGCAGACAGAATAGAACAGAAAATTTTCACCAGGAGAAGAGTAGCTTAACAGTAAAATGACTGTAATGGAAGGCAGGTGGGTAAGACAAGTTATGCTAACCCCTGAAGGTCAAAATCCCCCACCATATATACCGTATATTTTAGAATATGCTTTAATTAATTATATTTTTACTACCTAATTCGTTTAGAAGTCTATATTAATAAGAAGGTTAAAAAACATAAAATTACTTTAAGTTTTTAATTCAGTTTTTAGGGAAAAATCTTAAAGAACAGAATTTCTGAGTATTTATTTTGAAAAGATGTTTGAGCCACTTATTTAAATGATAAAATAAAATCACAAGGAACATAAAGATATATAATTTAAGTGCAAGACTTTCTGTGACAAAATATTGTACAAGAAAGTTTTGCCAGCAAATCCAAATTAAAATGTAAATTAAAATATATTACCATAACATGCATAATATACCTTTAAGCTAGTGTTTAAATAAAGACACTGTCTGCTGGCATGCTGATTACTGTTAAAATAAAAGGGTTCCTCTGCTCTTGCTAGATTTATCTACTCTCCAATTAGACAAACATTTGCTTAAAAAGAAGATACATTTCAGTACTGGCTGACAAAACTTATTCAGGAAAAACTCAGTCCAGTCTAAACGGAAATATTTATTTTCCGTTATACCTTTTCCTACTCAACCCAAGGTATTTTTTTTTTTCTTTTGGTACTGGGGATTGAACTCAGGACCTTGCGCTTGCAAGGCAGGCACAGCACCAATGAGCTAAATCCCCAGCCCCAACCCAAGCTATTCTTAAGAAAGCAGCCAGGTCTGTCAATTTCCACATCAGATTTTTTTTCCCTCCTTTCCTCGCCTTTTGAGGGGAGGGAGGTTGAACTGGGGATTGAACCCAGGGTCTCTTGCAAGTGTTCTACCACTGAGCTAAATTCTCAGCCCTCTTTTAACAATTTTGTTTTGAGCTGGGAATGGTGGTCTATGCCTGTAATCTCATCACTCTGAGAGACCAAGACAAGAGGATCAAAAGTTCATGCCCAACCTGGACGATTTAGCAAGACCCTGTCTCAAAATAAAAAATAAATAAGGGCTGAGGCTGTAGTTCAGTGTGAAGGCCCAGTACAGGCACAAAGTTTTGATACAGGTTCATGGTAAATTGCCCAAGCTGCTTCAGTCTCCAGAATAGCTGGGATTACAGGAATGCATCACCAAATTCACATCTTTGCTCATTTCTGAAACACAGCTAGTACTCCATACATGTATATATGATGTATGTACTCATTCATATTTGATTATGTCTTCAGGGATCAGACTGGTAACACATATGAGTAAATGGAGCTCTATATAAGACAAGAGAATGGCAAGGCCAATGTGCAAGAACATGAAACAAAAGCAAAGACAAAAACAAAAACCCTCCTCCAAGTTTACTTTGGTCTTCCTGTTTTCTGTTTCCATACTGCTGAATGCATGTAGTGATCTCAAGGGGAAGAAATGGGATGGGGAGGGAAGAGGAGACGATCTGGCACATCCTTTCCTCCGCTCTGAGTATCTCTCAACTACAGAAACCATTAGACTACTTATAAACATAAAGATTCCTAAATTTGGGCGGGGGGGTACCGGGGATCAAACTCGGGACCTTGCACTTGCGAGGCAGGGAGTGGAACCACTGAGCTAAATCCCCGGCAAGACTCCTAAAATTTTGATGTACACAAAACAAACAAACACAAAAACAAAAAAGGTCCTGGTTATAAAAATTCTGACTTTGGTTTTAAAGTACCAACAAGTATTTAGTTTCCAGAGCAGGGTACATTTTCTTTTAAACCACAAGAATTAGGCCTCTATAATTATTGGGTTTTTAATGTCCTATACAGAAAAGTACCAAAGAAAATCAGGCCACAAATTAAAACTGCAATGTCTACTTATACCCTGAAAAGTATAAAATTTACCGAATAGCTTAACCAAATATCTTCCATAAACTTCATACAGAAATTTGAGGAAGCCTTTATTATTATACTAAAAATTAATTTTATTATAGTAAAATTAATTTTAAAAAAGCAGCCTTAGAAGGTCTGATTAATATAGAACACGAATATTTACCATTTTAAATAAATACGGAATATGAATTAAATGCATACTTTCTAAATTCTGGTAAAGCAGTTATATACAAATAAACAGCATCATAATTTGAGGAAAAAGAATTGTTTTAGAAGAATGAAGTTTGAATTTGGTGAAAAAAAAAAACCCATGCAGACTAATACTTCATAAATTAGAACAGATGAAACTATTTGTCCTCTCTGGTTTCAATAAACATTAACCATTTGTTGATATTTTAAAGAACAATACAGAGTTACCCATGTACTCAAAGTAACCCACAAACTAGGATTTACATTTTAACAAACTCTACAAAACTACTTCAGGTTTCAACTTCTTCAGATGTAAAAGGAAGGCTAATACCACCTACCTGTTATGGCACTGTTATATGCCAGTGATGGCAAACCTTTTAGAGCTTTCAATGATACAAACAGCCCACTGTGGGCCAGGGATTTAGCTCAGTGGTGCTGTGCCGGCCTCGTAAGCGCAAGGTCCTAAGTTCAATCCCCAGTACCAACAAAAAAAACAAACAAACACCAAACAGCCCACTGTGGCACGTGTGCCACAGGTTCGCCACCACTGTTATAAGACTAATATATGAGATCAATATGGGCAAAGCACATATTTCAGTGCATAAATGATAAATACTGTAGTGATTATTATATTACCCTGTAATATAATACTTAATACACTGCCGTGCCATACCTTTGTCGGAACATCATAGCTGGGTCCATGTTAGCAGAAGTCATTCGAACAACTTGGCGGATTTCCTTAGAAATCATTCTTAGCTTCTCAAAGTTTACTAAACCATCTACTTTGGAGTCATTTCCTATAGGATAAAAGTAACTTTTTAACTTTCAAAATTAAAATATCTTAAAGTATCAGAATTCAAGTTGTTATTCTTGAGCAGTACAAATAAGAACCTTCTTTTTTTGGTTTTTTTTGGTACCGGGGATCAAACTCAGGTCCTTGTGCTTGTGCAGAAGGCAGCAAAACCACTGAGCCAAATCCCCAGCCTGAACCTTCTTTATTGATCCCAGGAAATGACCTACTGGGAGAAATTATGTTCCATACGGGAATGCTGATTATGAATGATTAGAAAAGTGATACACTGTGTATGTCTAAAATCAGTCATTATTTTATTAAGTACACTCATAAAATGTACTGTCATTCAAATCTATCTCTCCAGATGCTCAGCCCATTCATTAGCGGGTACCTATATTTGTTCTTTTTCAGACAGGGTCTCACTATGTAGTGCAGGCTGGCCTCGAACTCTCAGCGATCCTCCTGCCTTGGCCTTCCAAGTGCTGGGACTACAGGCATGAGCTACCACACCCAGTGGTATACTTGCTCTTCTGGACAGCAAGGGTACAGCAGTTGAAAGAACTTAATTATTAATTAACCCAGTCTGCAAGTTTTCTTTGGCTTATACTATTTTAAAAATTGTTAAATGAATTATAATCATGTAAACAGAAGACAGCTGAAGGGCTGGGAATTTAGCTCAGCGGTTCCGCCGCCTGCCTTGCAAAAGCAGGTCCCGAGTTCGATCCCTGGTACCAAAAAAAATCCCCAAACAAACAAAGAGAAGATAGCTCAAAGGGATATGGGATGAGAGAATAAAAAATAATGGGTTTTTCAAAGGACAAAAATTAGTTAAAACTAAGAGGTGGCTGCCTCACAGGAGTACTTACCTTCCAGTCTGGCATTTGCCATTCCTCAAGCAAAATTTGAATTTATGAACATGATTTTAATCATTATCAGAAATTTCCCTGTTCATAACTTCCATTATTTTTGTTCTGTTAAATAGTTCTCTGAGGAAAGATTCATACAACTTTCCAAATGGTCTATCTGCCCGCCCATAGCAATGTTTGTTCACACCTAACTTTCTTTTATTTTGGGTTTTTTTTCTTTTTTGAGAAAAGATCTTGCTGTGTGATTTCAGGCTGGCCTTGAAATCACTCCTTATTCCAGGCCGGCCTTGAAGTTGCAGCTATCCTCCTGTTTCAGGCTGTCCTCAAACTTGGGGTGATTCTCTTGTCTCAGTCTCCTGAGTGCTGGGATTACTAACTAGTATGTGCCACCATGCCCAGCTTTACATCTGATTTTAACAGTGTAACCCAGTTTTTCTCCCATGGGGAGCCCTGAGGGCCTCCATGGAATTCCAAGGCTTTGAAGCCAAGTTTGAGAACCACGGGAGGCTGGAAGAACGGTAGTTTCGTGTCTATGACCAATCAGCACCTACGTATTATACAAACGAACTGTTCTGGGTCTCAACCTGAGTTGGAAACAATCTTCTATCAGGGTCTCCACATGAGTTGGAAACAATCTTCTAAAACACTGTAAGACATATAAATATGTTTTGTAGGACCATGTCAGAAAAACATATTTGAGGGCTGAGGATTTAGCTCAATGGTGCTGCCTCCACAGCCTGCCTTGCAAGCACAAGATTGTGAGTTTGATCCCCGATACCAAAAAAAAAAAAAAAATATATATATATATATATATTTGAAGATAATTAACATTTCTACATGAAAAAAGAGTGGCGATGAAAAATGAAGCAGTAAGACTAGGGACAACCTTTGTGTGGAGAACAGTTAGAAAAGTTGGATATGAACACCTGAGGCATCAAAGCGCTAACAAGTGAAGATTTGAGGTTGAATACAGAGGGCAGGCTAGGCATTTTCTAGTGTTTGCCCCTAGGCACGCCTGCTGAATTTACAAGAGAGGGATGATGAGCTGAAAAACTGAGCAGAACCGCCCTGCTTTTTAAGGCAAGGCAAGTCCAATTAAGCCTCCAATGCTTTGGGCTGGAACGCCAAACTACTATATCCTAAGTGAATACTGGGATACATCTGATGTTAAGTTATCCCAAAGTATAAACACAGACAAAAGGGATCTTGGGTCATTAGTATCCTGAGCTAAGTAAGGTTTAATCCTTTTTTTTTGGTACCGGGGATCGAACTTGTGACGTTGCGCTTTCGAGGCAGGCAACGGGGCACCACTGAGCTAAATCCCCTGCCCAGGTTTAATCCCTTTTGGAAGCACAGAACATCACTCAAGACCCCACATTTCTTTTGCTAACTTTTTATACACAACACCCATTACCCAGTCGAATGAATGAACAAACAAACAAACAAGGCACGCCAAGAGAAAAGATGACATGAATGAAATACAAAAGGAAAAAAAAAGGAGACAACAGAAAAAGAGCCACAACAGATCCATATTATCGAGTGGTCAGAGACAGAGTTTAAAATAACCATGCTAAATACATTCAAAGATATAAAAACCACAGTGAGAACTTCGGCAAAGAAGAATGAACTTAAAAAAAAAAGAAACTGCAAAATTAAAAACAACTAGAAAGAGGAACTCAGTGATGGATTTAACAGTGAGTTGGGTGAAAACAGAATTAACCCGAAAATGTTATGGATGAGAATATCTAGAATGACACATAACGAGGAAAAAAAAGAGCAAAAGACAACAGGGTTATGTTATGGCTGTGTCCAGATGTGTCCCCAAAGACTCATGTGGTTATAGGTGAGGCTTTTTTAGAGGTGGCTGGTCTAGAGATGCTGGGACTACTAAATTAGCCTAGGGCCGGGGATTTAGCTCAGTGGTTCTGTCGCCTGCCTCACAAGCACCAGGTCCAGAGTTCCATCCCCGGTACAAAAAAAAAAAAAAAATTAGCCTAGTAATTGCTTCGGCTCAGCTCTTGGTAGGGTTAGGGGTGCCCCAGCCTGGATGTGAGCACTACTCGCCTGCCCACTCTGGGATGCTCCTTTGCTAGGCCACTCACTGTTCCTTAGAGTCAGCCAATTATAAACTGAAACCTTTACAAACTGTGAGCCAAATAAATATTTCTGCTTTTAACATTGGGTGTCAGGTATTTTGTCTCACCTTTGCGAAAAGTAACCAAGACAAGGTACAAGGATCAAATCTAACAAAGGTGACATCACAAAATAGTAACAAGACAGCATCACTGGAAAATTTCAAACACAGGGAAAAACCCACACATTTCAAGATGTCTATAGGAGTAGGCAAAGACTTCATGAACAAAACCCAGACCGCATGGGAAATACTACAAAGAATCAACAACTGGGACCTCATCTTTTTTTTTTTTTTTGGTACCGGGAATCGAACTTGGGTCCTTCTGCCTGCGCAGCAGGTCGTGAAACCACTGAGCTAAATTCCCGGCCCTGGGGCCTCATCTTATTAAAAAGCTTTTGGACAGCAAGAGAAACCACCAACAGAGTGAAGAGACAACCCACAGAGTGGGAAAAATTTTTTTACCAGCTATTCAGATAAAGGACTATTAGCTAGCATAAAGAACTAAAAAAAAATCAGACCCCTAAATTTAAAGACCCAATGCAAAAGTGAGCATCTGAAATAAAAAGATACTTCTCAGATGAAGAATCAGAATAGAAACGGCAAATAAACATCTGAAAAAATGTTCAACATTGCCAGTCATTGGTGAAATGCAAATGAAAACAATGCTGAGATTCCATCTCACTCCAGAAAGAATGGCTGCTATCAAGAAATCAACCAGGGCCAGGGATTTGGCTCAGTGGGGCCACTGCCTGCCTCGCAAGTGGAAGGTCCCAAGTTCGATCCCCGGTACCGAGAAAAAAAAAAGGAAACCAACCAATAACAAATGCTAGCAGGGCTGTGGGGAAAGAGGAGCCCTTTTACACTGTTGGTGGGAATGTAGACTGGTGCAACCACTGTGAAAATCAGTGTGATTTCTCAAAAAACTAAAACTAGAGGTCTCATTTAACCCAGCTATTCCTCTTCTTCGTATCTTCCCGAAAGAATTAAAAACATCATACCACAGGGATATATGGACATCCATGTTTATGCACATCCATGCTTACATTAGCACAGTTTGTAATAGCTAAATCTTGGGAACAGCCAATATGCCCATCAACTGACGAGTGGATAAGATGGTTTTTTTGGGGGGGCGGGGAGTACCGGGGATGGAACTCAGGACCTGTGACAGCCCCACTGAGCTAAATCCCTGACCCCAAGATGTGTTTTTTTAATACAATGGAATACAAAGAAGGATGAGCTTCAGACATTTATAGCTAAATGGATGCACCTTGAGACCATACTCTTAAGTGAAATGAATTGGACACACACGTTTAAAGACCACATTGTTTTTCTGCGGTAGGAAACCAAAACTGGAAATAAGGACTAAAATGTATAATGCATGTTGGGAAAGGGGAAGAAAGTGTTCAAATGGGAAGGGGAACAAGGGAGGAGAGAGGGAGAAAGAAAAGGACAAGAAAAAAAGTGAAAATAGAAGGAAAAAATGGGAACAAAGCTTTTGTACACAGGGAGGGGACAGGGCTTGGGGGGGGGGATGGGATAAAATTTATTTTAAGAAAAAGAAAAAGAAAATGAAGTAAACCTACACTCAAAAAGATGGAAGATTAGCTCAGGGGCGCCACACCTGCCTCATAAGTACAAGGTCCTGAGTTCGATCCCTGGTACCAAAAACACCCCAAAACCAAAAAAGAAAAAAAATGGAAGAATCTCATACATTCAATTTGACCAATGTAAGTCAGAAACCAAAACAAAGCATAAGAAAATAAATACATCATGTGATTCTATTTGTCTAAAATTCAAGAACAGTTTAAACTAGAGCATTTAAAGTCAAGATAGTAATTACGGTGAGAAACTGCGGCCCTCTTTTTTCTATCAAAAGATATAAACAGGAGTGCTTCCATCTTAGACTCTAGTCCACCTAAGCAGCCCCAGCCCTCACACTCAAAATTATGGAAACACACCCAAATTCTGGGAACACACCTGCAGACCAAAGACAGGGATCAATAGCCAAGGATTTGCTCCCACACCCTTTATTATTCCACTCCTCCCCTTCAGACCCTGTTCTCGGGCCACTTACACTAGCCAGTGGGGATAGACTGTGAACCTTCAACCAGCCAATGAGGAAAAATGTCAGCTGCTTCCCATGCTTTAAGGCTTAAACTCCTCCGATCTGAGTGCACTCTTACCCTTCTGAAAAAGTAAACTTTAAACTTCTCCTTGTGGAGTCCTACTGCTTTCTGACCGCATTCTTTCGGGCACTATTTGAGTCTGGGGGGCTCATTTCTAACATTACCTTTAGGGCACAGGATGAGGGTAGTAATTGGAAAGGGGTATGAGCAGGGCTTCTGGGATTCTGGCCATGTTTTGTTTTTGAGTGCGGGTCATAAAAGTATCTGCTTTGTCAAATTTCATTAGTTATTCATTTGTCTTGGGGGCTTTTCTGTACATGTATTTAAAAAGTTGGAAGGAAGTAAAGAGTTTGATCTTCGTGTGTCAAGGTTAAATTTGGAATGCATAAACACTTCATTTTGTGTCTGTAAACAAAGTAGATTTTAGGAACCTTAAAGTTGCTGCATTTAACTGTGTTACGCTTGAGTGAAATAATCAGTAGGGGGTGGAATGTATAATGAATCACAATGCTGCAGAATTAGCTGAAGCTAAACATGCTAATTTTCAAATAAGTTTTAAATACCTTCATGAAGAAAAGTCATATCTTTCTTGACAACGGGGAAGAGCGGAATAATTGGAGGCTGCATGCTTTGACTACTAAGAATATTTCTATATTTTGCCATGTTTCTAGATGGATCAAAAAGGTCTTGAAGATCTTGGAGATGTTTCTCGTATTTGTTTGGTAACTTTTCCCAGGTACCTCTAAGTCGTGCTACAGGTGCCAGGTTCAAGCCACTGCCAAAGAGGAGAATAAAAATATTACAAAGGGACCTGGGGAAGAAAGTGACTCAAGCCAACAGTGCACACACCAAGCTCTCTGATAATGCTAAAAAGAGCAGGGATCTATTAAACATGTTGGATAAACACAGAAGAACTGCAAAACACACAAAAGGGACTCTTGTAACCGTAAACCAAGGAGAACCTGTTTCAAAGAAACTACATTACTAACAAAAAAAAAAACAATGAACAAAGAAACTACATAACTTGACTTCAGCTATATACCTATGTAGCCCTTTATTTTACAGTCTGCATGGAATAATTCTCGAAAATACACATGTAGGGCCAGGGATTTAGCTCAGTGGTTTCGCCACCTATTGCTCAAGTGCAAGGACCCGAGGTTCGATCCCCGGTACCCAGAAAAACCCAAACAAAACAAAACACGTGTAAGTGGGCTGGGGATGTAGTTCAGCAGTGCATCGCCTGCCTGGCAAGCACAAGGTCCTGAGTTCAATTCCTGATACCAAGGGGGGAAAAATACACATGCAACTAAAAACCTTTCAAGCATGAAAATATGTTTTACTTAGAAGTAACTTTACAGAGGGCCGGGGATTTAGCTCAGTGGTTCCGCCACCTGCCTCGCAAGCGCAAGGTCCTGAGTTCGATCCCCAGTACCAAAAAGAAAAAAAGAGAAGTAATTTTACAGAAACAATTCTATTCAAAGGTGGTTTATGTAATGCTGAGAATTGTTAATAATAACTGAAGCAGCATTTTTTCTCTGAGATTCTGCCCATTTATATCCCTGACTCCAAAACTACCATGCCCCTATCTTGCAGTCTTGTCCCCTAAGCCTCGAGATATTCCAAGTCTTTTTTCCATAGGGCTTTAAACAAGCGCAGGTATCAACTATCTGGGAATAATAACTCGTGACAATTAGGCTTCAATTATTTCCTGTGTGTTTACTTCTATACTATCATGCAGTGTTGCCAAAATGAGTTGTATATGCCAAAATATGCCTGGATTGAGTTCATCCTTCTTTGCTTCCTTTTACCCACACCATAATATTTAAAATACTCTCTTGATTTTTGATGTTAAGATGTGGAGTTAAGATACTTCTGGTTCCCTTTGCTTCTCAGAAACCACCTGTGGGGTACTACTTCTGCCTATACTCAAAGCCTGGGCCTCTGTGGACACTTAAGGACACAATTCCGCTCTCAGGGACTCGTACATAATAGGCCACAGTTATCTAAGAATGACTTAACACACAATCATGCATATTCAATAGGGACAAGGTCCTGCAGCAGGTATTTAGTGTCTCCATGACTCAGTGCACTGATAAGACACTGTACTTCCTGTGAACTAAAGAATACTCTAACCTTTTAGTAGCTGTGCTTGCTATGTAGCTGTTCTGTTTTTGCTGAAGGAATAAAGACACACAGCTCTCGAGCTCCATCTCCAGCTCCAGCTCTGCTCTGATGCTGCCCTGATGCTGATAATTGTTTCCATGTTTTTTGTTCTTATTAGAAAATTAATTATTAACTCACAAAAGACTACATGGATTAAACAAACCCCTCTCCAGGTGCCTCCTATGGAGGCTCCACCTCGGCACTCACAACTGGCCACAGTCTAGCAGACTCACAATTGCTGTAGTCTGGCAGGATGCCCTCCCCCCCCCCCCCACCAAACAAAAAAACCGTACGGAGGATGAACAACAGAATTGCAGACTCTATCTCCATTGAAACAAAACAAAAAAAAGGGCTAAACACATTAGGACGGTTAAAAATAGCTGACTTGTAACAGGAGTATGGGAAAATGCTGAAAAATTATGCTCTCAGGTAAAGCTATGAAAGTTGGCCAAACAGTTCTCAAAGCAGGTCACTTCCTCTGAGGGCAAAAACCTCAATCTCTTATTTGGAACACAACAGTTCACAGGGCGACTGAGGCTTGGGCTGGATGGTTTTCTTTACCATGGAGAGTTAGGGAAAGTGAGACTGATACATTTTGGCAGGAAGCTGTTTAACAGTGACAGCGTTATAGACAGCTAAGTTAGGCAGTCAGACTGGGTTGGGCCCTTAAGAAAGTCAATGGGAAAAGAAAAAAAAGAAAGAAACTCAATGCAGGGCCGGGGATTAGTCCTCAGTTTGATCTCTGGTAGCACACCACCCCGGCCCCCAAAGTCAACACAAAAAATGAGAACACATGGAAGCTGGGGCTGGAGGCACAACTGAAGATTAAAGTCACAATGGCCAGATTTTGCATACTTCCCTGAGGGATGAACAGAAGCTCGAGATGATGATGATGATGATGATTATTTGGCACTGGATCGAACTGGGGACCCTGAGCTAGTGAAGGCAGTTTGCCTCCAGCAGTTTGCAATTACTGGTACCACCCTTTTGGGATTTTTTGTACAGATGTTATTTCATTGGGGGTGGGCCATCCTCCTCCACCAAGACTAAAACCACAGATACTCAGTGCAGGTATCTTTGTGACATTGCCTGCCATCTTGCTTGAAGGCATAATTCTCTGTTGTAGGTCTAAGACTGAGCCCCTAACTCTCAAACCTTTACTCAACATTTTCTATACAAACAGCAGTGGAATTTCTAGCTTCCCATGTACTGTATTTATCAATGGTGTCTTTGTTCTCATTTTGAATCTAGCTTTTTTTTTTAAAGTGGTACTGGGGATTAAACACATTCTCTTCACATTGAGCTACATTCTCAGAATTTTTTATTTATTTAATTTGGGGGGGGGCAGTACTGGGGATCGAACTTGGGACCTTGCAGTTGTGAGGCACACGGCAGCACCACTGACCTAAATCCCTGGCCCAGCACTTTTTATTTTTTATTCTAATTTTTCCAGCCCTTTTGGAAATTTTGAAACTTTTTAAAGTCACTAAGTTGCCTTGGCTGGGGCTTGATCTTTTAATCCTCCTGCCTTAGCATCTCAGAGTGCTGGATAATAGGTGTGTGCTACCATCCCTGGCTAATGCATGCATACATTCAGTCATTCATTTATTTTAAAATGAATTTATTTGTATTTAAAACTTTTTTTTTTTTTGCTACCAGGGATCAAACTCGAGACCTTGCGCTTGCTAGGCAGGCGGCAGAACCACTGAGCTAAATCCCAGGCCCTTTATTTAAAACTTTTAAAAAAACATTTATTTTTATTGGTACATTTTCTGCAGTACATGATTACAGGAAAAAATCAGTCTTCAGTTTTCCCCCAACACATTGCTACTACAATGGGAGAGGCGTGATTCAAATACAGGTGCAGCTGATTCAATACTCTGCTAAAAAATCTAGTTCAACTGTAGCCACTGGTTAATTTAAAGAGGATCACCCTCTTACTAGACAGAGCCACGTTTAAATAGTTCTCATAAAGATTCCATTTGTGACATGTGTGGGGGTACATGTGTATAATCCCAGCACTCTAGAAGACTGAGGCAGGAGGATTGTAATTTTAAGCTCAGCCTGGGAAACTGACCCTGTCTCAAAAATGTTTTTAAATATAAATAAATAAGGGGAGGTCTGTAGCTCAGTGTGAAGGACTTGAGTTCAATCCCCAGTGATGGAAAAAAATCCACTTTTATCTTACTTAAGCAATAAGAACAAATTACTGCAAGTTCTGTGGGTGATGTGAATAGGTGGCATTGAGTAAAGTGTAGGCGACATTGGGTTAAGGTGGAATTATTCTGCTACACACAAAAACATGGGCTTTTAAACAGACCTAACTACAACTCTCTTCTGCTTTAAAATCAGACTTGCTTTAAGAGGAATCCTTTTATTGATCTACATGTGTTGGATAAGAGTGAGAAAACAAATTACCTATAACTGTCTTTTCATAATAAGTAGGCAGAAAGTAGTAGGGAGAGCTCATATACACGCACACATCTATATGTCCTGGGCATGTACACAGCAGAGTAGCTTTATAATTCTAATGGCCTCACTTGGTTGAGTGACAAGACATCCATGATACCTCATGCAGTGCCTGGCAAAAAGGAGTAACTCACCCAACAGTTGTTGTTACTATTGTTCTCATTTCAAAATAAGCAATTTTAGGTCAGATCATCAACACTGTGACTTTTTTGGTTTTGTTTTAGACAGGGTCTTGCTATGTCCTTCAGGCTGGCTGAGTGCTCAGTTTACAGGTGTGCCCTACCACACCCAGCTTCATACTGTGCTTTTTCAGTGTCAGAGCAATGAGGTGGTGAGGCACAGTGCTTGTTTACCAAGTCTGACAATAAAGAGCACATATCCAAAAAGGTTATGATCACTTAAACAGGGAAAGAAAATGGGAAAGCAATCACCTACATTCATCAAAAAAAGTGATAAAGATGAAAGAAACAAAAACAAGAAGTCAATACCACCAAGATATAAAGTACATCAAATCTAACGATGCTTCAATAAAGTCTTATTGACTGAACTTTTCTACTACGCACTTAGTACCTAAGTAGAAAACTAGTTTCCTGTTTAGTATGATAAAGAGCACACACAGATACAGTTTGTAAAAACTTACCTTATAATTGCGAACATGGAATTGAAATTCTTACATTCTCGACAATGAAGTGCAATCTTAATAAAATGTTTAATAACTTTCATTCGTTTGAGCGGATTTGATTCTGTTAAAATCTCTGAGGCAACCCAGAATGTCTCTTGGTTTACAATGTCCTCGAACTCCTTCAAGTGAGTATTTCCTGTTTTGGAGTCCAACTTAAAAATGTCATCAATGTATTCAGTAGGCTCAATATTACGAAATAAGTCAAAGTCCCGCATTGACAACTGGGTGGCCAGCTCGATGGTACTGAGCTGCAGCATGGACAGTTGGCTTTCTTTAACCAGTTCCTGAGCATCTTCATCTGAGCATAAGGTTTCTGTTTCCATGTTATTTTTCAAATAGTACCTAAAAGGAAAAAAGGTGGTTTTTCTTTTTCATAAACCTGATCTTAAATGTGGTATCATTCATAAGAACACTTTCCCTCTTTATTATTGTGGCCAAAAACATCACGTTACTGAGAACACACCTGTAATCTCAGCTACTTGGAAAAGTAAACTACTTCGAAAAGTATTTGTGAAAATGATACTTTCTTTTGTCCACAGTACACTTATGTTATAATTTTTTTTTTTTTTTTGAGACAAGGTCTTGCTATGTAGCTCAGGCTGGCCTTCAATTTGTAGGCGATCCTCCTCCTTCAGCTTCCTGAGTGCTGGGATTACAGGCGTGCACCACCACAGCCAGCATAAACAAATTTATAAATTAATACATATACATATTTAGATATATATAAAAATTGCTATTATTCAGTTTCTTCCTCTGCAAAAACCAGACTGGAGTACATTAGCAATTCTAAGACTTTCTTTTAGCATGATCATTTACACATTTTGGCAAGCTGGCCTCCCTTTTATTCTCCGGAATCTAGAGTAGCCCTTAAGAAAACCCTACAAGTCTATTTATATAATTAGATGCAAAAGAAAAGCTTGGGAAAAAGAATCCCTACTTTAGAGTGAACTCAATCACAATACAACATGATGATGTTTCTACTTAAAATACCTGTTTTAGTAGGGGATCTTCGAAAAGCCCATCTACCAATAAGCCCACTCACTAATAAGCATATTCACTCACCTTCCATTGAGCTGAATTCTGTCAGCTAATTTGGAGAACTGGTCTGGAAGTCTTCTCTGCTTTATGACACCCTCAGGAGTAACAGAAACTTCACAGAGAGAGTATGTGTCAGATGCACCAGTCAAACCAAATTCATGAACGGCGTGACAAACTACTTCTTTAGCTGTAGTGTCTTTACTGATGATAATATAGCAACTTTGTTGATCTGCTTTGAAAACTCTTATAACTTGATCCGGAATATCTACAGAAATACAAAATGTGTCTTATTATTTTCAAGAAAGTTACTTTTAAACAACAATGTGGAATACAATGATCCTTCTAAAAATTGACATTTCTGTTTCAGGCAGGAGATTAACAGGAATAACTGTTGCATTTATTTATTTTTTTTAAGGGAAGAAAGGTTTATTTAGCTCAGTTTGTAGAGCTTTCAGTCCATAGTTGGCTGGCTCCACGGCAGGGTAGCATGGCAGAGGGGTATCGCAGGAGAAACTGTTGCATTTATTGACAAAAATTACTTTTCAGGCGACAGTATACTAATACATATTCACAAAGATAAAAATTGGAAAAAAAATGAAATCATATCATGATTTGAAAGCCACAACTTTTCTCATGTATTATGAACATTGTTATTCTTCTATAAAACTATTCTTTAATGGAGGCATAGCATTCCATCATATGCATTCTATATATTTCAACTACTGAAATCCCTAATAATAGGCATTTAGATTGCTTACCATTCTCAATTATGATAAATTACATTAGATACAGACAGCCACCCCACACAAAATAGATAAAACTTTGGCAATATGTTTATTTCCTCATCAAAAAGAATTGCTGAGTTAGAAGACATACATATCTTCAAAGATTCTGAAACATATTGCCAAAATGCCTGACAGAAAGGTTATAATAGTTTATCTAGAATGTAAGAGAGCAAATTTGGTTTAACAAAGAATGTTTAGTTTTGCTTACCTATTTTTAAAAGCCCCATCATTTTCCTCCCTCTAAAGAAATATATCATTCTTTTTAAATTTTCATTTCTTTGGTTACTGATGAAATTCAGTAACTGGTACTTCTGTTTAAAAATTCCTTTCAATATCCTCTATGTCTTTTCCTATTGAAATATAGTAGGTACCAACAATTACGTCTACTACCAAGGGGCAAATGTTTTCATAGTTTTTACATTCTACTTATTTTAAAGCAAAAGGTTTTACACATGCTCATATAGTTAAATATTACAACCTGTGCCTTTGTGATTTGTGCTTTCAGTAAATAACTTCTACCTCAAGATAATGTTCATATGATAGGCACATGTAAATGGTATGTCCTCCTTCTGTCCTATCTTCTTTCTTTTTCTGATCACATAGCTTGGCTAAAGCTTCCAGAACCATGTTTCCTTACCCTTCAGTTGGGTAATTGTTAATGTTTTAAATGTTAAGTGAAAAGGAATTTATTTGATAGCATAAATGCTGTAATTTCCCTATGAAAATAAATAATTGTTGCAAAATTTCTTTTTTTTAGTTATAAAGATTTATTATTGTGACCTTTTCTGTGATGATGGTAGTGAGGATGGGTGGGGGAAGATTTTGGTGACTCAAGTAATTATTCTGCTTGAACAGCATTATATTCTTAAGAGCATGCGCCCTATTAACTTTTAGAGAAAAGATTTATAAGTCTGTCTCAAAAGAGGAGAGTAATGGAATAAATATAGCAGGAAATAAGTTTCACAAAATAATGTAATAAGAACACAAAAAGACAGAAACTGGCTTCTAGCACTAGAAGATTCAACTGAACATAATTCCAGGGAGAAGGAGTCTTAGCTATGAGATACTGAATGTTCTGGGACTACAGTCAAGTTAGAAGGAGTGCTTCATCTCTCAGTTTCTATTTTCAGAAGGATGCACCAAACTGTCTTTCCTTGTCAAAGACTTGAGTCATCCAATACTTCTTGTTCAGATCTCTTGCAATTAGCCAAGCCTCAGTGTGCTGCTGATAGCATCAGGTTCCTCAATCTCTAAGGCTTAAAGTCAGACTTGACCAACTAAAACCAGAGATGCTTTTCTTCCCTGTGCCAGAAAGTTATTGCAAGGAGACAGAAATTTTGGTTTGCTAGGAAAAAGCAAGCAAAGAAAGGGCTTTAACTATCCCTTTTTCTCGCTTTAAAACAGGATCAAACATTATATTATTATTTGTACTGTCCTACCCTCCTCGTGATAATTCTTCATGAAAATGGGTCCTGGCCTCTAGAACTGGATGTGTTTCCTCAAGCTTTGGAGGCTGAGAGCATCAGCAAGTCACGGTACTGGCTGACCCTAAGAGAATCAGAAGATGTCTTTATCCCTTTTACTACTTTCTTCAGAAGAATTTATTCACAAACACAAGGTGAGAATTTGCACATATTTCATGTTCTCTTCCTCTGGTGCTGTAACACCTTCTGCGAAGGAACAGCTGTGTACATTGAACAGGGTTAAAAAGTTGCTCTCTGTTAAAGGCATTTTTTTGTTCCCCAAGTGAAAGACACATTAATTACTCTGTAGTTACATAAAATAAGTAGCATAAATGAATACCTCTAGAACAGAGCTGCAAATGGGATTATTCAAAGGGTTTCCCATAACTCAAACCCGGATGAATCTGTTAAGGTAATGAATGCCAACTTGGAAAAAGAGAGACATCAGGCAAAAACTTTCTCTTCACTGATATCAGCTTTTCTCTATTTTAGAACTGTTCCATATATACTACATTTATATTCTTTACAAACATATTTGATGATGATGGGACAAAAACATATTTGTTAACCATAACACTTATACAGTACATGACGGATGCATAAATGTTAACTGATGAATAGTAAATATGAGGTTAGAACAAAGTTAAATCAAAAATGAAAAATGAAGGGCCGGAGATTTAGCTCAGTGGTACTGTGCCTGTCTCGCAAGCGCAAGGTCATGAGTTCAAGGCCCAGTACTGGAAAGAAAAGAACAATGATCTAATCATTTCAAATTTTTGGCATGAAGCTAAAATGCATACAAAAATAAAATTTTATGAGGATAAAACAGAGAAGGATCCTTGAAGTTCACAGTATTCCTTAGTCTTAAGATTTGTATTTTAAGAAATTCTCTATAACAGGTAAATGAAATAATGGAAACCCCAAATATCTATACTTTCAACTCATACACTTTCTAAGGTGCTAACTATAATCTTATATGAGTAAAATAAAAACTGAATTAAGGATTTATGTATTGGCCCGAGAGTACATGACAAATAGAAGAGCTTTTCATGTATTTTAGAGGATCTTAAAAAGATCTAGGCCAGGGATTAGCTCAGTGGTTCCACTGCCTGCCTCACAAGTGCAAGGTCCCAAGTTTGATCCCCAGTACCAAAAAAAAAAAAAAGATCTAAAAACTCTTTCACTGTGTTAATTAATGAACTATTATTAATGTGTATCATTACTATTAATTACTGAGTGATGTGTTTGAAGCGCTGAAGATACAGTGATAAATGAGATAAAGTCTTTGATCTCAAAGGAATTTACTTAGAAAATTCAAAGAGAGTAAATGGTGGGGCAAGAAAAGACAACAGCAGCCAGGTGTGGTGGGGCAAGCCTATAACCCCCAACACTTGGGAGGCCCCAGCCAGCCTGGGCTACACAGTGAGTTCAAGGTTGGTCTGAACTGCAGGAAAAGATCCTATCTCAAAAAACAAAAACAAAAGGACAGACAACAATCAAGTAAATAAGATAAGATAATCCGGTAAGTGGTCAGGTAGTAACTATTTTAAGTTTCAAGGCCAACAGGCCAAGTCCATAATTTGTTATTGTTTTTGTTTTTGTTTTTTTGAGACACGGTCTCACTATGTAGCCCAGGCAGGCCTTGAACAAGTGCTGGGATTATAGGCATCTGCCACCATTCCTGGCAAAATCTGTATTTTATATGAATTTATATAGAAAGAAAACTAATTTCACAAGATTTTTATGGACAGAATTTAAAATATAATTAAAAAGGCAAATATAAAATATATAGGTATGTGGAGATTTAGGCAGCACTTCAAATATCCACTGACGTGCTCGCTTCGGCAGCACATATACTAAAATTGGAATGACACAGAGAAGATTAGCATGGCCCCTGTGGAAGGATGACACACAAATATCCACTCAGAGAATAGATAAAAGAATCCAATCAGTTGTTTATAAAATTTGGTAAAAGCCACAAGTGGTGGGCACATGCCAGTAATCTCAGCATTCTGGAAGGCTGAAGGAGGAACACAAATTCAAGCCCAATCTGGGCATTTAGCAAGACTCTATCTCAAAACTGAAAAAATAAGTAAATAAGTAAGTAAATAAATAAATACAATAAAAAATGCTGAGGATGTAGCTCAGTGAAAGGTCCTTGGTTCAATCCCTAGTATCACCAAAAGGAAAACTAAAATTGGGGAGGGGGTTCGAATATTTCATCCTGATATAGGAAATTATTCAAGATATTTTGCTAAGTGAAATTCATAAGTTGAACAAAAGTATAACATTTCATTTTGGGGTAAAGGAAACAGTACATGGTTTTTTTGTACAGTAAGATTTCTAAAAGGATACTTTGGTAAATTAATAATTTGTAAATTCTGGGGAATGGAGACACGTGTACCTATCCTTTATCTGTATAGTATTTTTAAGAAACTATGATTATATATTCCTTTATAATTAAAAACTAGTAAAAATAACTCAGACTTTCACTGCACAAATAATAAATCAAATTAAATAAATCAAAGATTTGTACTATTCAATGAAAAAGTAAGCCAAAAAATTCTAGACCCAAACTCAGAAAAAAAATTCAGTTCCAAATTTCTTTTAGCTACACTCTTAAATTCTTTAGGTTTCATCTTGTATTACTAGGTCAAAAATTCCAAAAAAATCTTTCAGTAGTTATAGAATAGCATAAAACATATATTCAAAGAAAATAACTAGAAGGACGTCATTTAATACTATCTTATAAATTGAAAATATCTGCTTATTTCATTCAATTCTGCATCTTTTAAAAAATAACAAAATATTATATAGAAACGTGAGCAAGATAATGCCAAGATACTTACAGTAAAAACCAACAGCTGTATGCAGCAAAAATAAAGCAAAATCATAAAAAAGTCAGCAATCAAAACCAAATTATTCCACAGTTCTGTAGTTTTGCTCTCACATTCATTTTTTCTTTTGGCGCTGGAGATCAAACTCGGGTCCTTCAGCTTGCGAGGCAGACGGTGGCACCACTGAGCTAAATCCCCCGCCCTCTCACATTCATTTTGATCTAGTAACTTTAAACATGCAGAATAAACACTGTTGTGCTCAAAACTGATTAACATTAATCAAAGTTAGCTGATATCACACAAATACGATGTATATGTATAACGCACATAGCTAATTTCAGTGCTACTATTTATAAAGAGCTAAACTTGGAATTCTTTTTGGTAATATGTATTCAACACAAACATAAATAACACCATCTCTAAATACATGGTCTCTTACAAAGTTACACATTTAGGGGTTAAGAAATAGGATTTGGTCGGCCAGGGATTTAGCTCAGTGGTTCTGCCACCTGCCTTGCAAGCTCAAGGACCCGAGTTTGATCCACCGTACCAAAAAAAAAAAAAAACAAACCCAAAAGAAATGTGATTTGTAAGTTAAATACCTATGATGTGTGTTCATTTATATTACTGATATGAACACACATTACAGATTAAGTCACAGCAGACTTTCTCTGAACAGATTCTTTTAAAAAGGCATCTTTAGTCATGTTAACATGTTTTTAAGGACAGAATTATGCAATCAATCTGAAATCAAGTTGGGTAGCATCTCCTCTCTAGAGATTTGCATTTTAGCCCCATGGGGCTTAGCAATTTCTAAATTTTAATAATTTCAACCTTTTTCTGTTGTTTCCCCAGTACTCTCTCCTCTCCCTACAACCTCATTCCTTATTCTCTCAGCCCAGCTGTCTACATATGCCTGTGGCAACAATACAACTGTAAAACTCTTTAAACCTACAAATCCTATTTCTCCAAATACCTGTCTTATATGCATATTTAGCTGGTGCTTTTGGGAGTGTGAAAACACTGCATTTAAGAATATTCTATGTACGGCCGGGGATTTAGCTCAGTGGTTTCGCTGCCTGTTGTGCAAGCACAAGGACCCCAGTTCGATCCCCGGTACCAAAAAAAAAAAAAAAAAAAAAAAATTCTATGTAGAGCCGGGTGTGGTGCTGCATGCTGTAAACCCAGCACTCAGGAGTCTGGAGGATTGCCAAGAGTTTAAGGCCGGCCTGGGCTACACAGTGAGTTCAGGGCCACCCTGAACTACAAAGGGAGACCCTGCTGCAAAAAAACAAAAGCAAACAAAAAAACAAAATACAAACAAAAACCCACAAATATTCTATGTGGTATAAGAAGTACTACTGTTGAACACATACACACAGACACAGGAATAAATTTCTATTCTACCACATGACGAACAATGCTAAGACCATGCAAACATGCTGGGAACTTCTGAAAAATGAGATGGTGACTGCAGCACAGGGAGCTGGGCTTCCCAGATGAAGAGATGAGGTAACATTTGAGTTCAGCATGGATGAGGAAGAAAAGGTTCACTGGATGTATAAATGTTCACTGGATGTTTGCCTACAGGTGGCAAACAGCATGGGCAAAGAATTTTGAAGGTCCATGCCACACTGAAAAAAGGATGACTTAATACAGAGTATGTTTGGAGGCAAAACCGGAGGTGCATCCCAGCAGTGGCATTTATTTAATGTACCAGACAGCAAACCCAGTCTGTAGTTTTCCTACCCACATAATGCTTGTCTTTTTTTTCTACTGTATCAGGCAAATAATTAACTTTCTATGCTGGTAATGATCTTTATATTATCTTCTGATAAAGTAAATAGAATGATTTGTCTCATGTCTGAGACACTGAAACTGCCAGAAATTTCTAAGCAAAGTCATGATTCACTAAAATCTTTGTTCTAGAAAGAAAACTGGTAGCCATATAGAAGGTGGGATGTGCAAAACCGTATTACTGGAATTAGTAATCTCTCTACTTGTTAAGAGGCAATCAAAATAAAAAGGAAGAGCTCGGACTCTGGGCTAGTCGCCTCTCTAAGCTACTTTGCTTTGGGAGTGCCGTCTGGCCAGACTAAGGTCTGTTTTACTTTCAAAAAAAATAAAAAAATAAAAAGGAAGAAACTGTGCACACAATGACCTTCACTAAGCTGTGAGTGCCATGTCCTCACATTTTAATGTTGCTATTAAGATACTGAACTTGAGTTGGAAGAGGCGAGTCTGGTCTCAAAATGGAGGTAAAACCGCTGCCCGGTCGCCTCCAGTCCGACTCCGGCCATCACCACTGATGCCAGGGGGAGGAGGGCCATGATCCAAAGGAACCAGAGCAGTTGAAGAAGGTGTTTATTGGTAGTCTGAGCTTCGAAACTACAGATGATAGTTTAAGAGAACATTATGAAAAATGGGGCACACTGACAGATTGTGTGGTAACGAGAGATCCCCAAACAAAACTCCAGGGGCTTTGGTTTTGTGACTTACTCTTGTGCTGAAGAGGTAGATGCAGCAATGTGTGCTCGACCACACAAAGTTGATGGGCGTGTAGTGGAACCAAAGAGAGCTGTTTCTAGAGAGGATTCAGTAAAGCCTGGTGCCCACCTAACAGTGAAGAAAATCCTTGTTGGCAGTATTAAAGAAGATACAGAAGAATATAATTTGAGAGACTACTTTGAAAAGTAGTGGGAAGATTGAAACCATAGAAGTTATAGAAGACGGGCAGAGTGGGAAAGAGAGAATTTACTTTTGTAACTTTTGATCACGACACAGTTGATATAATTGTTCAGAAATACCACACTATTAATGGGCATAACTGCGAAGTGAAAAAGGCCCTTTCTAAACAAGAGATGCAGTCTGTGGGATCACAAAGAGGTCATGGAGGTGGATCTGGCAACTTTATGGGTTGTGGAGAAAACTTTGGCGGTGGTGGAGGGAATTCTGGTCGTGGTAGTAACTTTAGTGGAAGAGGAGGCTATGGTGGTGCTGGACCAGGATACGGAAATCAGGGTGGCGGATACGGTGGAGGAGGAGGAGATGATGGTTACAATGAAGGAGGAAATTTTGGTGGTGGTAACTATGATAGTGGTAGAAACTATAATGACTTTGGAAATTATAGTGGTCAACAGCAATCAAATTACAGACCCATGAAAGGGGGCAGTTTTGGTGGAAGAAGCTCTGGTAGTCCTTATGGTGGTGGTTATGGATCTGGTGGTGGAAGTGGTGGATACGGTAGGAGAAGGTTTTAAAAAACAACAGAAGGGCCAGGGATTTAGCTCAGTGGTTTTGCCGTCTGCTGCACAAGCGCAAGGACCCAAGTTTGATCCCCGGTACCAACTCCCCGCCCGAAAAAAGAACAACAGAAAAGGGCTACAGTTCTTAGCAGGAGAGCGAGCGAGGAGTTGTCAGGAAAACTGCAGGTTACTTTGAGACAGCTGTCCCAAATGCATCAGCGGAACTGTAAAAATCTGCCACAGAAGAACGATGATCCACAGTCAGAAAAGTACTGCAGCTTAAACAGGAAACTCTTCTGGTTTAGGACTGCCAAAGCCAGTTTGCAAGAAGTGCAGCTATTGATTAATGCAATGTAGTGTCAATTAGATTGACATTCCTGAGGTCTTTTATGTGTTGTAGCTTTTTTTCCTTTTTCTTTTCATTATATCAGGTATATTGCCCTGTAAATTGTGGTAGTGGTAACAGGAATAAAAAATTAAGGAAATTTTAACTTTTCAAAAAAAAAAAAAAAGTTGCTATTAAAACAAACTTTTTTTTTTTTTTGGTACTGGGGATCATCAAACTCAGGACCTTGCACTTGTGAGGCAGGAACGGTGCCACTGAGCTAAATCCCCGGCCTAAAACAAACTTTTATTACTACATTTGTACTTTCTTTTTTCTAATACTGAGATTTATGTAACTGAGTTTCCTTTTCACAGCAATGGCTCACTGAAAACTTCAGCTGAATCAGAAATATGCTCATCTTTGTGGAAGCATAACACAATGACAAACACAACTTTCAGTGTTGAAGGAAAATTCAGTGCTTTAAGAAAATTACTAAGACATTTTTATACATCACAAAGGAAATAAGGGAGGCCACTTAGATTAAAATAATCTCCTTTATTCTTTTCCACACCCTGGAGAACATATTTTTTGACTGAGAAATATCTTTGCTTGAATTCTCCTGCTTATATAACAATTACCAAAAGATACCTAAGTCTGTGGTCAAATGAAGTCCAATTTTTGGTTTTTTGAGGCAGGGTCTCCCTTTGTAGTTCAAGCTGGCCCTGAACCCACTACGCTGTCCAAGCTGGCCTCAAACTCCTGCCTCAGACTCCCGAGTGCTGGGATTACAGCTGTGCACCACCACAGCCAGCTCATGAAGTCATCTTTAAATAGTCTTTTGTTTAATTTCAGAGGAAGTATCACTCAGTGTAGGTAAGAAGACATAGTCTTCTTGTCAGTTTTTTACATGAAGTCATAATCCAGAAGCGAGAGAAGAGGCTCCAAGCAATTCTAGTACTTACTGCACAAAGCGCGACAATTTACCTGTCCCTGAGGCACCAAGGTAGCTACATGAACTGACATACCAACGTTACCTGAAGGGTTGGAAAAGTCCAACATGCTGGTGGTTGGCTGTAGGAGATCGGGGCTGCTGGATGAGAGTGTTCCAGGAATAGGCATTATAGCGAGGCTGTGTCTACAATGTCTCGTTCCCACAATGCTGTCATCCTGTGACTGGCTCAGGCCTCCATCACTTCAAAGGAATGCCAGAGATCACATTAAGGGTTAGAGGGCGCTTAGACAGCAAATACAATTAGTTTTTTTTTTGGTAGCGGGGATCGAACTCGGGACCTTGCGCTTGCGAGGCAGGCGGCAGCCCCACTGAGTCACATGCCCAGCCCAATAGCAAATAGTTCTATTCTCTGTGTACTAAGACACAACAGAGCCAATTCAAAGTGGTGAACTAAACAATTAGATTAAAATTTTAAAAATAGGACAGCTATAATGATGAAAATAGCAGTAAGATAATTTAAATAAGTACATTCAAATAGAATTTAACTTATATACAATTCCACTACATCATAAAGACAAGTCCCATTTAGTTTCTACTGTTTTTATTAAAGAAATCAAACCTAAATGTGTAGGGAGCCCCTGGAATTTGCCAGCTGTCGTTGGCACTGATGTACGCATCCAACTGTGCATCGCGACACCACAGAAACGCCCCTCGGGTCAGGCCCCGCCCACCCACAACACACCAAAGCCAGAGGAGAAGGTGAACCAGCCAAAGTTAGCCCTTTTACAGTTTCAAAACCAAGCATTAATGGGCTGGGGATTTAGCTCAGTGGTTCCTCAAGCTCAAGGTCCTGAGTTTGATCCCAGGTACCAAAAAAAGAAGCATTAATTAAATGGCTTTAAGCAAACAAAAGATTCCTCCTTTAAAATATTTTAGAAGTTTCACACAGGCAACCCCTAATCCACCTTAAGAACGCAAAACAACACACTATCCCTTGCACTTTACATAGCCCCCAAGAGTAGTTTAACTTTACAGTGAAACAATTACACAAGAACAGGGCAGCGACGCATTAATAACCAAAATACTAACTTGTCTGCAGGGTTGTCTTTACCCTTGTCTGTTACACTAACTCCCGTCTAAATTTTATTCAACGCAGCACTCTGCCCAACACTTGCTTAACATACAAAGAGTAGCACAGAAAACTTACCCATTATCACTGAAAGGATCAAGTTACGGTCTTAAAAGTTAATGATAAGGCATATATTTAGAAAAGGTTAGAAGTGAAATATAGGATTTAGGCAGATTAGAAAGTGGTTCAAGATGGACAGTTTATGGCTGTTAAACAAACAGCTAAAGGCCTGTTAATAGCCAGATGAGAGAGAGCCAGGACAATAGCTGAAGAGCGTGAAGACATGGAAGAAAGCAAATACTAATGTTTTAAGAAGAAACTACAGGGCCAGGGATATAGCTCGGTGGTTCTGGCACCTGCCTCGCAAGCGCAAGGTCCCAAGTTCGATCCCCAGTACCAAAAAAAGAACAAACTATGATGCCAGACAGACCTGGGTTGTTAGCTCTTTGATCTCAGATAAATTTCTGTCACTGGACCTCAGCTTTCCTAATCTATAAATGTGGACAATATAATTCTATGCATACTCTAAGACTATTCTAAAAATTAAATTAAGTGAAGTGGGTGCACATTTTGATGCAGAGGAAAACAGGATTCCTATTTTTGGTTTTTATTGGCAGCAAAGTTTTATCAAAGGTTGGAAAAAAAAACAGGCTCTGCAGAGTGAGTTTGGGCCAAGTAAAAGTAGGAAAACAAGTGCACCCCACAGCAAGAAGGTGGGCTATCGTGAGGAGGCACAATAGCCACATTCCTTTCAAGGACAGTGAAATACTTTTACCAAAGGAAAATGAGAACTGTACAAACTTAGAAAGGAGGAGTACTTATTTTACCTAATTTCTACTAAAAACCAGAGGAGGACAGTATGGATACAAGGAAGGCACTGCAGAAACAGAATTTCTTACCAGAGAGCAAAGGCAGTCTAATCTGGCAAGGCAAAAGAAAACATTTTGTTTGTGCTTACCCTAAACTGGTTCCTAACAGCTAGATTCACATTCTTAGTTATTACAGTTAAATGTTTTTAGTTAAGAGAAAAGGAAGAAGTGTTTACAGTTTTTCATACATATACTTGTAATATAGTTCAGGCTGACCTCAAACTCACTATGGAACCCAGGGTGGTCTCGCTCAGGATTACAGACATGGCACCACTGCTCCCAACAGGTTTTCAATGAAAGGAAATTAGTTTTATCAGTTGCAGCAAGGAGGAGCTAAACTCATATCCTAAAAACTTACACATTTTTTCACTTTAATTTTCAGGAATATTCTTTCTTCTTGAAAGTATGTCATGGTTTAGGATTTGGACTTGTTTTGTGGTACTGGGGACTGAACATCCTTTTATCTCACTGATGCTATTTAACATTAGCTCTGCTTTTTAAATTAGCAGATATATTATACAGCTATAATTATGTACAGCTGGCTATAAATTCATGGTAATTAAGGTGTGAACATGTACATATGAAAACTATACTGGTCATATACAATCCATGCTATGACAAGAATGAAATAGTAAGTGGCAAAATAGCCATGCTTGAAGGTGAACTGATAAAGCCTTTTTGTCAAATGATGTCATTTCTTACCCTAAAAGTCTCCTGAGATGTGATGCAATAACAGAAACAGGACAGTTGAAAAATTCATCAATATTTCCTAACACTGAATTTACTCAGAATAAAAGTACTTAGTTTCATATTGTGGAACTAAAAAGGCCACAAAAATAGTACTGAGAACAAAAAAACAATCCCAATATTAAAAGCAAACAAAAAATATTGTCAAGAAATCTGAAAGGAAAAAAAATTCCTCATAAACAAGCAAAGCAATCTATAGCTCAGATGGGGCCGGGGATTTAGCTCAGTGGTTCCGCTGCCTGCCTGGCAAGCGCAAGGTCCCGAGTTCGATCTCTGGTACCAAAAAAAAAAAAAAAAAAAAATCTACATCTCAGAATGTTACAATAAAAAGTACAATGGTATTACTTACACAATTGTGATTAAAGAAACAAAATAAAAGTAGAATGATTTAAGAAAAGGAAATCAGATTGTCTGAATTGCAAAATATTCTCTGGTCAATAAAAACCACACTGCTATGTCTTAATAGATGTTCTTCAAATCAGTAACTTTTTTGAGATTAAGCCCAGGGTCTCATGCATGTGAGGCAAGTGCTCTACACTGACTACAATTCCAGCCTAATAACTTCTTTTTTCACTTTAACTTTATATTCTTTTATCTTAAAAGTATGTCACGGTTCAAGATTTTGGATTTTTGTTATTGTTGTACTACGGATTGAACCCAGTGCCTTCACAATGAGCTATATTCCCAGCCCTTTAATTTTTTTTGAGATAGGATCTAGGTTGCTAATTTGACCAGGTTAGGGTTCAACCTGCAATCCTCCTGCCACAGTCTCCCAGTGCTTGGGAGTACCTTCTGGTGACTTGGCCCCTATTTTTAAGAAGTGACTGCTGCTACAGGAAGCGTCCAGTCTGACCACTTTCAGTGGGTCCTTGGCACAAAGGAGCTGCTCAGAAATTGCAGACTTAAAAAACTAAAAATTTTTATTTAAATTAAAAACTAACTAGTATTTGAAGTAGGAATCCTGAATACAGGCAGAAAGCGAAAGAAGAGAAAAATTATCCGTAAAACCATAACTTGCAAAAAAGTCATAGCCATTATCTTGATTATTTTTCCTTCTAACCATTTTTGTGTTCTACAGTACAATTTATTTAGCCAATCCTTTATAGTTGAACTTTTAGACTACTTCCAATTTTATTTTATTATAGATAATACAATTAAGAACAATGATACACATCTACACCTAATTATTATTAGAAATGGGATTAGTGACTCAAAGGATATGGCCATTTTTAAAGCTCTGAATAACAAATGCTGTACAGCCAGCCAGGTGCCTGTGACACGGGCCTCTAGCGCCGGCTATTCAGAGGCTGATGCGAGAGGATCACCTGAGCCTGGGAGTTGATCCAGGCTGGGCAACAGAGCAAACCTCACTATAAAACTAAAGTAAAGGCAAACAAAAACAAACTTGATTGAGAGATTATATTATTTTATATCAGCACAGGAGTCTGAACTTAATATCTACTTTACATTCCCCAATTCTGGCACTATTCTGTTGATCTTTGATGAAACAAACAGTGTTTTCTCTTAAACTGTATATTCTTGATTAGTACCAATATGGATCATTTGAACTGATATTCTGTTTTTCTATTGAAGTTTTAGTGGTTTCTTTCTATTCGGTGTTTCTTTTTTGGGTACCGGGGATCGAACTCAAAGTATTTTATATGCATATATGAAAATGCCACAATGAAACACAATATTCTGGATACTGCACACTAATAAAAATGTATATGGCAAAACCATTTTGAGTTCACTTCAAAGGATTAAGTGCCTAGAAATATCATATACACTCACTGTGAAAAATGCAAAGAGGCCAATCTGACAGATAAAAACCAAATAAGCTCTTCTTACAAAAGATATTCCAGACATCTTTATGACTTCTACGGAATATTCTATTTTTCGGTATTTATGATGCTAAAATCATTCTCATTTTACTTCACTGAAACATCTTTAGAAGACACATCCAGGGTATATGAACTTCTAAAGTGCAGCACATTTTATTCATGTTTGTACTTGTAGCCAAAACTTTGGCACAAGGCAAAAGGCTCGGTAAAAGCTTACTGATTAATAAATGAAAGATTAAATTAAAATATCCCTTCAGAGTTCAAGTAAAACTTTTCCCCCTAGATCTTTTCTTTGGTAGCAGTATAAAGTGAAAACGTGGAAAATACTCAACTGACTGCTTTTGCAGAACTCAATTTCTATGTCTTGTCCTACAACCAAAATTAGAATTCATGTGCAGTAACTAATTCTCAGGCCCCAAAAGATAATGTGGAGATGAGATATTTAGTGACCTGAAACTTGAGTTTAGCTGGCTGAGATGAGATACCAACAAGCTGCAGTGGGGTCATAATTAGTATTCTCTGGTTTTCGATGTTATATATCTGTGCCACCAGTCAAAATGAAAACCTGTGAAAAGGTGTGTCTATATCTGTAGCATCTATCTCCCCATTCCAAACCAAATCCATCAGGGTTCCCGAAAGTAGAACTCAGGGCAATACTTCCTAGGAACTCTCTTCTGCCTTCTGATCACCCAGATTTTCCCTTTCTCTCAGTGACTTCTGGTCATTTCAAACTGTCTGAATCTCTTCAGTATTGGTTGGTCTTTCTAATATTCCCTTCACTTTGTTCCTATTTGTGAGAATAAGACTTTTCTTACAGTGTTTGCAACATAACATTAAAAGATTTTGATTATTTTTTTTATTGTATTTTATTTTTGGAGATAGGTCTTGCTATGTATCCCAGGGTGGCCTCAAACTCACCACAATCCTCCTGCCCCAGCCTCCTAAGATTACAAGTGTGCACTCCTATGCCCAGATGATTTTGATATTTTAAAGTTATGATTTTTATAAACCAATTACCTTAAGGCTATCAGGCACCCAGAAAGGATGGAGTAAAGAATTTTCTATAAATGACGTTTCAATACTTGTGAGTGTCAAAATAATGTATTTCTCTGATTGGAAAAAAGAACTCACGAAGAAGAGGACTTCTTGATTTTTGATATGAGATTTTTATTGAAAAAATACGGAAAATTGGGCTTGTTTGAGTATGCCTTCTTTGAGTGACTACAACACTGTCTTAACTTATTGAACAATTATTAACTGGATGCTTTCTCTGTGCTAGGTTATTGTACTTGATTAGGAATTTTGTGGTTTAGAAAACTGATAATGTAAAACATATACAGATATATACTAGAGTCATTTCCAATCATGTCACTTCAGTAGACTGATTTAATCTGTATTTTATTCAGCTTACTTTATATTTAAAACCCTTGGGTATTACTCAGTTTTGGTGGTATCTCATTTTTGAAATAGAAAATAGATTTGAGTGCATGCCTGTAGTCCTAGCACTTTGGGAGGCTGAAACAGGAGGATCACCTGGCCTCAGCAACTTGTTCAGACCTTGTCGCGAAATAAAAAAATTTAAAAAGGGCTGCGTATATAGCTCAGTGCAAAGGCCTTGAGTTCAAGCCCCAGTAATACACACATACCACAAAGATTTGATTAAAAAGTCCAGTACTAGAATTCATGAGGGAATAAACAGTGCCTTAAAAGGAACAATTTTTTTTTTTTGCAGTGCTAGAGACTGAACTCAGGGCCTTTACAAAGAGCTAAATCCTTAATCTCCCCCCTCCCCCTTTTAAGTTTGAGATAGGGTCTTACTAAATTGTCCAGGCTGAGCTCTAACTTGTTATACTGCCTTTGTCTGCCACAGTGCTGAGATTACACATATGCACCACCATGCCCAGCTAGGAGAGATGATGTTTACTAACTAAAGAACTGGCAGCAGTCAATGTGTCCCAAGGTTTAAACTGTCCAAAATTCTAAATTCCAGGGGACTGAAAATTGGACCACCCAGGCCTGGTGGTGCATTCCTGTAATCCCAGCACTCATAAAGTTTGAGACAGGAGGACTGCCAGGGCTTCACAACTAGTCTGAAGTACCTACATACCTGGACCCTATTTCAAAGAGCCAAAAACCAAGCCAAACCAAACCAAACCAAAACCCAAACAAAACTCAAGCGATCACACCCCCCTGTATAATCCTGTGGAACTGAGACTGACATTACCTACCTAAATAGCTTTGGAGGCAAGATACTAAACCGTGTTTTATCCAAAATCTTCCTGATTTTGTTTCTTCCACCTGAAACAGTATTTGCTTTAACTTTCTTATGTCCTTTCTCCTGTGATGTCTGTTCAGTATCTCCTGGTACATCTTGGATTGAATGACGGTTACTTTTTTTTTCAGCAATTTTTGGAATATGCGGAACACCAGATTTCTCTTGTTTGGTCCTACTATGTAACTCTTTGAACACTGTGGAAATAAGTAAACAAACGTATCATTTTTCTTCTCAAGAGAAAGTTTTGACACTAAATTTTAAGGATAAGCACAATTACTATTATTTGGCCTTCCATAGATAGCCCTATTCAACTAAACACAATCAAATTTATACCCACCTTTTATTTACCAGCAACATCTGCTCTTCAGTTTTTACACTAGACTATGTTTCTTTTTTTTTTTAGACTGCATTCAGATTTTATTTATTTATTTTTTTTTAATTATTATTTTTTAGACTATATTTCTGATGTTACCCAGCAGTCACTCTGGGAAGTGGGTAGGCTACCAGCATTTTTCAAAAACGCAGCAGACGTTCCTACTTAGATAATAAGCATTATACTGCTAATCAACTAATTTTACAGAAAAGTATTTAAATTCTGGTGAAAGATGAAATGGTGGCTGCATATTCTAGAAGAACACACCTGAAGGTATTGAGACACATAAGCTGTAGAAACAAATGCTTGGCTTATCAAAAGGTACAGTAGAGCTTTGAGCTATCCACGATAATGCACATCTGTAATCCCAGGAACTTGGGAGGATGAGGCAGACGGATTCCAAGTCTGGGGCCAGCCTAAGCAATTTAGACTGTCTCAAAATAAAAATTAAAAAGGAATTGGGGTGTACCTCAGTGGTACAGTACCCCTGAGGTTCAATCTATTGAAAAAAAAAAAGGCATGTCTTGAGCAGTAGCATACTCTACATTTTCGAAGTTACAAATTTTACAAATTTGCCCACTGAAACTCAAAGTACAAAGAATAATCCTTTCTTTTGTATGGGGAATAAAACAAAGCAAGTGTTTCTCACAAACTCAAAGACAAGTGATGGTGACATGAACTAAGCCTTAAGGACAAGTTACAATATTAATAGCTTGGTATTCAGTTGTAAAATGTGTACGTTTTGAGGGTTTCTTTTTCTTTACAATTAAGACATGCTAATTATATATAATGGGATATAACAGGTATATACAAATGGGATTCAATGTGATACTTCCATACATATACACAGCATCAATTCATATTTAACCACCCTTTCCCAATCCCTTGCTATCCCCATAGTAATCACTACTTTACTTTCAGATCAACTTTTTTTGGTTTCCACAAATCACAAAAGTATATGTACTTGTCTTTCTGTGTTTAGCTTGTTTTACTTAACATGATGTCCTTCAATTTCATCTATTTTGCTGCAAATGACAGAATTTCTCTCTTCTTTATGGCTGAATAATACTCCATTGTGTATACAAGCCATACTTTCTTTATCTGTTTATTCACTGATGGATAGTGAATAGTGTTGCAATAAATACTGGAATGTGGATTGCTCTGCTGATTTCATTTTCTTTGGATATATACCCAGGAGTGGGTAGCTGGATCATATGGTAGTTCTAACTTCAGGGTTTGTTTTGTTTTGTTTTTTTGAGACGGTCTCACTATGTAGTCTAGGCTGGCTTTGAACTTATTATATATCCCTGGCTGACCTTGAACTGAGTGATCCTCCTACCTCAGCTCCACAATTGCTGTAATTACAAGTGTGTGCTGCCACACTCAGTTTTAGTTTTAAGGTTTTTGAGGAACTTCCACAGTATCAATACTAATTACATTACCAAGAGCGTGTAAGACTTCCTATTTCTCCACATCTTCATCAGTACTTACTTTTGTCTTTTTGAGAACAGCCATTTTAACTTGAGTAAAACTGTTATCCTACTGCAGTTTTTTTTGGGGGGGTGGTACTGGGGATCGAACTCGGGACCTTGCACTTTCCAGGCAGGCAGCGGAATCACTGAGCTAAATCCCCAGCCCGCTGCAGTTTTGAATTGCATTTCCGTAGTGGCTAACTATATTGAGTATTTTATGTCTATTTATTAGCCATTATCAATGTACAGTACAAACTTACAAAAAAACCAATTTCTGCATTCAAAATAATGTAGATCTTTAGGAGTCATCTTTCAAAGACATTTCTTGATTTAAATTCAGTAAGTTCCATTTAGTTTCTTTTTTTTTTTTGTACCGGGGATCGAACTCAGGTCCTTGCGCTTTCGAGGCAGGCTCCAGAACCACTGAGCTAAATCCCCGGCATTTAGTTTCTAATTTTAAAGTTTCAAGCTAAAAGCAAGCCATTCATCCATTCAAGAAATATCTGCTGAGCTATGTGTATCAGGAACTATTCTAGATTTCTGCGTATTTCTCTAGTTGTGGAACTCACTACTGTCAGTCTAAGATTCTTGGTACAGGAGAGAACATTTCAAGGAAACCCCTAAGATAGTAAGAAGGAGCAATCTTCCTTAAGTACATCATTTTTTTTTTTTTTTTTTT